GTTGAACCCGGACCTTCCAGTTACGTTTTGGCTGCTTTACCAGTTAAGCTATCTCTTCAGTCAATATAATTTCCTCCAAATCGTGTCAGTATTCGTCTAGCAACTATATTGTCAATTTTGCCTCACTGAATGACGTTCGAGAAACGAAAAAGCGGGTTTCTCCTAGAAAACTCCAAGATGTTAGAAAATTATTAATTGATTTGTCTATTTGCAATTATTTCCATTGATTTTGGTATCAAAATAAAGTCTCTTTTATGTAGAAAATTGTCAATAGAAATTTTATTTTATTAATTAATATTTAAATGAATTTTAATTAGAGAGAAAATTATATCAAATTATCACTAGATTTTCCATGCTTTACAGCCGTCAAGAGGAAGTCATTAATTATTTATGTTTAATTCGATTTTTGCTGGAAAAAATTATTTACCGATTTCCTTTCAACCTTTTATACTACAAATACAATTATTTACACAACATGACACAGTAATTCAATTTTATTTTGTTATTTTATTTTTCAAGTACTTTCTGCTACCACTGATACGGCAACAATTGTAAATTCAACTTAGCACTAAGTGGTTAAGCATTTCAGTCCATGACTAGAGGGAGATGGGTTCGATGCTCGGACCCATCAATTTACGTTTTCGAAAAAAAAACCTGTGCAAATCTTGGAGTCGTGTATATAACTATAAATAAGTGACTATTCACTAACTAAACCAGTGATAAATTTAGCACTAATAATTTCCATTAGTACTCTTAGCAGAGCTTTTAGTCATAAAAGTTTATAGAAAATCAATCGGTATTTAATAATAATTATTCTAAGCACTTATTTTAAAAATTAATTGAAATTAATCACATTAATGATAACAATCAGAATAAAGTATTATTATTATGTAAATAAATGTATTAAACTACGACGTCAGGTTGGTATTACTTAAAGATATTGATGTTCAACGTAAGGTTAATGCCACAATGAACTTACACGTGCTGCGATTATGAAATGTCACGTCACAAATTTATGATACCGATAAATTATTTTACGCATTTTTATTATTCACTTTATTGATTGACAATGATTCAATCGTGAAAATAAAAATAATAATTCTATTTTGTTTGATTAATATATCAAATTATTTAATTGATTCTATTTAGTACAAAAATAGCAAAAGAATTATCTTCATTAGAAAGATAAATATAAACCAAAGATAGGACAAAAGATAAAAAAAAAAGTAGAGTAAAAAAAGGAGAATAAATAGAAATGCTATAAAAATACGTATAAATAATAAATAATGTCCTGGTATGCTATTTTATCATCGAGCAAAGTATAAGTTAGTATTGATATGGAAGAGCAAAGTGGGATGTGATATTTCATTCAGTCAATTGTTGATCCAATGTATATTGATTATATCTTCGTTCCAAATGCAATTTAATTTACTTAACCACATGAAAAATTAAATTTTTTTTATTGAATATAAAACAAATGAAAAAAGTGTCAACGGTTATTTGAATAATCAATTTATTATTATAAATAAAAATGGTAATAATATAGGAGAATCTATTAATGAAAATTAATTAATATTAAATTTAATGAATAATCTCGGGATTTTCTATGTAATAACACTGTGAATTTGTTGGAAGTTTTGTTTTTATAAAAATCATTGAGAAACGTAATTTATTACGTCAAAGTAAATTTTTTTTCTGTATTTAAATAGTAATAAATGAATAATAATAAAATTAATTAATTATTAATTTAAACAATTAGATTGAGATAAAATTATTTTCGAACAGACATGCCACCACTTTTTCATATTTCCTTTTCGACGAAAAAATCGACAGTTAAATTTATTAATTACATTTCGTTATTATATTATCTTTCAATATTTTCAAGCTTATTTTTTTTTTTTAATCGAAAAAATTTTTCTCCATTGAAGATTCGAACCCACGACCTCTCGCATGTACAAGATTTAAACGGCTGCTTTTTGGTGCACTTTGTGTCCACACGATAAACTTCTTACATATAAAATGTTACACTTAAATTCCTAGGGGAAAAATGAAGAAGATAGTGACAAAATATGGAATTTCTGGATATTTTAAATGATGGTATTCCGTATTAAATCCACTATATTATATCTGGTCATTTTCCTCTAACAATTTCACTTGATATAAAGGTGGTGTAGAAACTATGTAAAGTCGATGCATACAGCGAGTAATTGAGTCATTTATACTTCATATAAAATTAATGTAAATGCCGTGTGAATATGATGTACACATAGTATTTATTCGTAATTAAATTGTCTTCACTTTAAATACCCGAATCAAAAGATAATACCTACTTTTACTCTAAGACTATTCAATGCAGAGGTCTATCTTAAGATGAATTAATCCTAATTAAAACCGAAATATGCAACATATCAACATTTCCATAGAATAAAAATTTTTCATTTTATCCTAAATCCCTAGTAGGGTATGCCAGTCTTGCCAATAAATAAAGTTATCATCCAGTCATGGCTAAGTACAGAATCATTGCTGGATGATAACTTCCTGCCAGTTCCAATACTGGCCCAATAATGGCTCTGTTGTATGTTCCTACTAAGGATTCGTATTAATTAGCTTGCAAGTGGGAAGTTATAGTAATGGATCCGATTTTTCGAATCCCGAATTTCGCGCTTGATCTCTCAATAATAATTATAATAAATATAATTATATGTGACGAACGCGAATTGTTGTTTCAATTGTAAATTGTGGTTCCTGCCTTTATTTAAGTTGACTCTGGGTTCCTGATCTTACATTGTACATTTTATGGATTCAATTGCTATTAATTCAAGGTATTATAACTTCATTTAGAAATGTTATTTTGTTTTATTACAACTGCTTTTTAATATACGACTTTAAAGAATCACTTTAAAATCAAATCAATTTTTTAATCAGTTTTCAAAATCAAAGATCCTTGTACTCCTTCCTTGTCTATCGGCTGTCAAGCTAGGGCAAAAACGGAGAATTCTATGTTTGTGTCTTTCATTACTATTAATTACGTTAATTATTATATGTTAAGACATAACATATAATAATTCATGTAATTAATTGATTTTAAAAACAAGAAAATTTTTTTATCCTTCCCACTAGAAAGTTTGTTTTGTAAGCCTTTCGGGTTGCACTCAGACTACTAAAAAGCACTCATATTTTTAACTTCCCAGTTCGAAATTACAGTAACGGGTCCGATTTTGCGAATCCCGAATTATGACATATCTCCACGTTTTAAGATCCCCAGAGTTGAATACGACGGTTTTCCAATTGCCGTCTGTGTATGTGTGTGTGTATACGAAAAAAAGCTAAATCTTATCATTCTTTCCACTGGGAAGTTAGTTGTGTCGACCTCTCGGGTTGTACCCAGACCACTAGAAAGCACTAATATTTTTATTATTATTAATTTTAATTAGAATTTTAGTGATTATAAAGTTTAGAATTTTGACCATATATTTCTGAAGAGATATTCTGAAAAAATAAAACTGGATAGGTGTTATATTTTAACTCAAATCTATTAATATAAGGTATCAATTATCATAATAAACTACTAAATTCAATTACTCCGGGTAAACACGGTGTTCACATTACGTTTACGCCCTGTTGAGTAAATACCTTGTAACCAATTCTATTAGAGGGAGGGAAAAATACAACAATATTTTGTCAACATGAATCTAATTTATCAACAGTGATAATCAGTAAGTTATTATATTTTTTCCAATTGTTTATAATTAATAACAATTGCATCACTTTTTCTAATTTGGTTGAATGTAAGGTGGGTCACTCAAATAAAGCCTATGTTCTAATAAGGCCTTTTTTTTTATTTCCCACTTCACAGTGTAATTTTTGTTTCTAAAGCAATTTTGATTCATTTATTACAAAGGTTAATAAATGAATATAAGTATTTCAAATTACCAATGCATTGTTATTATATATATTATAGTTAGATAATATAAACATTGAGGGAGGCCTTATTTGGGTCACCCACCTTATAACAAATTAAAAAAATGCTACGCTAGGTGGAAGATCAAATCCCAAAATTTGGAGAAAAATTAAATCAATTATTTTTCTTCAGAGGAATTCATGAAATATTTCCTATTCCGTTTTTTGAAAGTAGATTTATTTATAACTCAAATGTAGCTTTACTTTGAAATTTTTTCTTATTTTAAAAAAAAATCCATTTTATAAAAAAAAAAATTACTTTTCTTTCACAAACATGACTTTACACTTTCCATCGTGCATGTATGATTTTTTATCTTCAAATAGCTTATTTTCAATCAACATGAATAAATTCTCGCTCTGTTTCCATTTATATCTGTCTGCTATCCTTCTAATTTTTATTTTAATCTCTTCGATATCCTTCCTGATTCTCTTGTATTTCTTGTGGCAGCTTTTGATGCGATGTAGTTTTCAATGAGTAATAACTTGCACGACTTTCGGTATATTTGGATCGATGTCCTATCGACTGAATTACGAGTGAAGCTAATGTGAAACTATCGAAGGCACTTTGACCTTTTCAATAAATACAAGAATATAAATATAAAAAAAATCAGGCAATGTTTGTTTTTTTCTTCATGATTTTTATATTTATTTTGAACAAAAATTCGTTATTTTTTATTATTCTGTACTGTTATTTAACCGTTAAAACAAAAATAGCGTTATTCAATCTGGAATGTATAAAAATTAATTATTAAAAAACGATAGTTATAATTAGTATTGAATCAATATTTTATTTGAATAAAAGAGAAAAATAATTTCAAAAAATTTTTATTTAATTTTCCATATGTTTGAATTTGAACTTTTAAATTCAGAAATTTTCTAAAAATTACCAACCAATGCCCTCTATATGAACTCATATGGTAACATTCTTTTTCACCGATTGTCAATAAAGCACAATTATTTAAAAAAAATTATAAAATGCACTTGACAGATTTCTTTTATGTTCACTAATGAATTGTTTATTGAAAAATATTTTCCATTTAAAATGTCCAAAAGAATCTAAAAAATCAACGAATTTTTTTACTTTATATAAAATTTTTTTTCAATGATTATTACTTTTAGAAGTTTGCGGAAAAAACTATAGACCCAATATCTAGCATAAATTATAGCACACATTACCTTGCAACGTATTTTTTTAATTCTCGAATAGTTATTGTAAATACGTTGGTATAAATATTTTATTAGTAGTTAAAATTTTATTATATAATAAAAGTGAATGATGTCGGAGGAACAGAAACTTGATCATCGTGCGAGAAAACGAATAAGAGAAGTAAAGAAAAAAGCTCGACCAGGTAAATAAATGCTATCACAATCATAACCTAAATAGTAAAACGTTTCGAACTCCAAAATCATTTCAAACAAATATTAAAAACATTCAATACAATTCTATTTATTAATATTTCATTAAATAATATAAATAAATAATTTTCTTATAATAATAAATTAATCAATGAATTTTATTGTAAAGAACTTGCTGACAAAGCAGCGTGGACACAACACGAGTATGTAAAAAAATTCAATGAGTTTTGGAATTTTAAGGACAACATTGATAGAATAGAAGCTGATAAAGTGACCGAAAATGAATTTATTAAATTGTATGAAAAACCCTACAAACCTGTGATAATACAAGGTGTTCAAACTGGTTGGAAAGCCCAATATAAATGGACAATAGAGGTAATTATCGCTTAAATATACTGAGAGAATTTTTTTATTGCACATCAATACGAGAAGTGATCAACTGTTATTTTACTACATATAAATAAATATATTTCTTTGTATTTTTTATACGTAAAATTCAATTTATTAATAAGGCAAGCAAGTTGGAAAAGCTCTGCTATTAATAAAAAGCAGTAGAGATTAAAATTTTTATTATTGGTACAATAACATTAATACTCAATAATAAATAATCCCTCAACTGCACTACCAAAGCATAATTTTTTGAATAACAATTAAATTTAATAGAAATGTAATATAATTAACCTAAAAGCTAACTCCTTCTCTACTTTATTGAAAGAAAAAAATTCTCTCAGTGCAACAGGTGAAGTACATCAATAATGTAAATAAAATGTTATGATTATTGAATTTTATTTACCAGAGATTAGCCAAAAAATATCGTAACCAAAAATTTAAATGTGGTGAAGATAATGAAGGTTATAGTGTAAAGATGAAAATGAAATACTATGTGCAGTATATGCAAAATAATGAAGATGATTCGCCTTTATACATTTTTGATAGTTCTTTTGGTGAACATCCACGTAGGAAAAAATTATTAGAAGATTATATGATCCCGAAGTACTTCAGGGATGACCTATTCCAGCATGCTGGAGAACACAGAAGACCACCTTATCGTTGGTTTGTCATGGGACCTGCAAGATCTGGTAAGTATTTTTCTTTCTAACTACATTTAATTTACCATAGAGTGGATAGTTTCGATCTGTTCTAGACTAATTTTAAAAGCCAAAATACTGTCGTACCATCAAGGGAGACATTTTGGAATAGTATTTAGCAGTGTTCCAGAGCTCCAAATCTGATTGTGACCACATAACTTGGAATTGTAGATAAAATTCATATTATAAATTGTTTTTCTCTGTTATTATGAAGCACATGAAACGCAAGAGGACCTTTTATTTGTAATGTGATTGGTTTAAAAACATAATCAAGTTTTTGAGTTTAACTTAGTAAAAACTTACACTCCAAATGGGTAGTCTACATGATTACTTTGTTAAGTATTTCTGTATCAAGCATGACGATGTATTTTTTTACATTGAATTTAAATGCTTCAAAAGTCCAAAATGTGATGGATTATCTTTTCTGAATTGTACATGTAACATGTTGGATTTCGTAAAAAAAAGTGAAGATCATGATCAAATCACTAGAGTTGTGAAATCAGAATTTTTCAGGAGATAAATAAGACAGAAGAGATGGTGAAGATAATTATTTTTGGTTAACAGGAACTGGTATCCATATAGACCCACTCGGAACAAGTGCCTGGAACGCATTAATCTCCGGTCATAAGCGATGGTGTTTGTTCCCTACTCACACTCCAAGAGAATTATTAAAAGTTACTGGAGCAGAAGGAGGTAAACAAAGAGATGAAGCAATAACGTGGTTCTCAATAATTTATCCACGTACAAAATTGCCATCATGGCCACAAGATTGTCTACCAATCGAAGTTCTACAAAATCCTGGAGAAACTGTTTTTGTACCTGGTGGATGGTGGCATGTCGTCTTAAATCTTGATGAGACGATTGCTGTAACGCAGAATTTTTGTTCGAGAACTAATTTCCCAGTGGTTTGGCACAAAACCGTAAGTAAAAAATTGGTAAAAATAAATCATTCAAAAACTAGTTATGATTCTAGTATTAATTGATATCATATTCTTTAGGTCAGAGGACGACCGAAATTATCACGTAAATGGCTAAAAGTATTAAGAGATAAAGAATCAGAACTGGCATCATTAGCAGAAACAATAGATGTAAAAGAAGACACGGGCGTAGCTAGTGATTCATCTAGTGGATCATCTAGTAGTTCATCAAGTAGTTCATCCAGTCAGTCTGAAGACAGTGAGGAAGAAGATAGTGGACAAGAATCTTTATCAGCACACAAAAAGAAAAAAAGGTATGCTCTCACAAGTATTATCTTATTATTAAAAATAGCGTTCAATACATTTTCTTTCAATAAATACAATTAAAATCACATGGTTTTATTCACTTTATTGATGTCAAATACCTGCAAAAATTTCATAAAAAATAAATTTTAAATCTATCCTAGCATTTAATGTATTTAATTTCAATTGGACGCTTCATAAGTTAATTTTTCAAGATTTTTGTATGCCAAATAATTTTTTAACAACTATTTGTAACATTTTACCAGCATAAGTCAGTGGTTAAAAATAAAAAATAACATCATATTATTAAAAAAAAAATCACAATTTTCATTTGCAATTGAATGTATCACTGGAGAATGGATTTTGGACATTACTCTATTTTCGATGTCATTTTGTAACTAAACTATGAGAGATACACAAAAAAGTCTCAAACAAAAATTAAAAATCTATTTATTCTACATAAAAAAGGTCATTAGAATTTATTCACTACATCCTGTAGTTTCCCTGTAAAATAACTGTAAAGATTAATACAGTGTAAAAAATTAATGTGAGGCTATTCTGGGTGTTCCCGTTAGTCGATTCCAATTATTAGACACTTCACTGAAATTCATTGACACCATCTAATAATACATGTTAACGACAATGCACATTTTTAAGATAAATTTATTTGAGCTGCATGCATTGAAAATTGACACCGATAACTCAAGAACGGTTAACATTTTTGGGATAACGAAAAAATGTAAAATGTCTGAAGGATAATTTACTACAAAATAGTCTCTGTTAATTCGATCATAAAAATAATCGTTTTCAAGATATCGCGGAATCATTTCTCCCTTTACGTTAATTTTGAGATAAATTGAAAATCATTGACGCTTCATAAACGAATAAAATTTTCTCTTTCAAAAGCAATTGATCCGAAGTCAATAACTCGATTAGTTTTTGATGAACCGTGAACGAAAAAAAAATTGGACGCCCGAACGTACATACGTACATCTTTTTAAAACTATCTATATGAACTCTCCACATGTTGAAACGTCAAGATCTGTTGAAATTCTACTTAAAAATTCATTTTCCAATTTTTAATATCATTTTACAGGTAAACTATCAAAGATATGGGCTAAAGTATGAGAAGTTTTTTTTGTTTAAGATCAAAAATTTTTTAATTTTTATTTGACACTTTTTTTAGTATCTTGCATAGTTAATCGCAAAAAATTATATTTAAAATATCTCTTTATGTAGATAGTATTAAAGTTTTGCCTTTTAAGTTGATTAGTTATAGAATTTCTGAACAAAAAAAAATTTTGTTTATTTAAGACTAAAAATTCATTATTATCAGATCTAGAATCTAATGCCAAAAAATTTTATTCTTATTTACAGAAGAAAACTCAATAACCAGCAACCCTGACAATGCCAAGTACTGAAGGCCAAGGAAATGGTTCGACTGTACAGTATTAAAGAAATATTGTTTGTACTGAAAATAAATATTATAATAACTACAAACATCCTCCTGTCCGTAATAAAATGAATGCTAGATAATGCCAACCTACCCTAAATTCTTATTATTACCATCATTATATAATCATTAAAATGAATTTTATTTCTCTAAATTTGTATATTTCTACAATAATTCATGACTTATTCTAAAATAATCATCAAAATATTTGTATTTATCATTTCAATCAGCAATTATTAGCATTAATTCATTATTTGTTTATCTATTAGGCATTAATTTTATTTCATTTGATTAAAAACTATGACTTATACACACTCTTTATTTAGAAAAATATCGAAAAGATCTTTTTATTTTGAAGAGAATGAATGAAATTTTAAAAAGCAATGCCTTAAAAATTGTAATTACTATTTTAAAAGAAAGAAAACAATAAAAAATGTTCTTTTTAATTAAAAAAATGTTGATAAACTATTCTTATTACTAATCCAATAAAAAATATCAATACTTAATAATTATACAGGTATAAAAAAAAAAGAGTTTAAATAAAATACTCTTTTCTGTAATTCAAAGAGTAATCATCATCTTGAGACGAATACTAGCACTTTAGAGAATTGCTGCGTTGAAAATTACGTGGATCTCTGATGTTGAAACTCCAAAGTCGAATAGTTCCATCGCTGAAGTGGTAGAAAATCCATGGAAAAGGAGAAAAATGTGATGTATGAACATACCAATAACACAATGATAGCAAATAAATATTTAAAAAATGTATTACTTAATTAAAAAATTAGTTCACAATTAACATAATTGCTAAAAAATATTATATAGCCAATAAAGCGAGGTAAATAAATGAAGATATTTTGTTAAATTACTAATAAATGAAGATTTTGTTTAAAAAAAAAACATATAATAAAAATAAATGAAAAGAATAATTAAGCATATGATCAAAGTGAGTTAGATCGACATAGTGGAAACAGACATTGCTAGGGAAGGATCAAAAACACGCCAGAGTTTAACTTCACCCGAGCTGTAATAAAGGAATAAACTCAACTGTTAATAAATCCATTGGAAAACAAAGTTAGTAACACAGAAGTCAATTACATAAGGTGGAAGTAATAAATCCTGAAAATAAACACTGAAGAAAAAATATTCTTTTTTTTAAAGCTGTACTCTTAAATAGTCGATTAAATAGAAATAATTAAAATATTAGATTGTCTAAATATAAATCCACCATTTCGAAGGAATATTTTTTTTTATTTAATTCAAAGTGATAATTACGTCTTACTATTATATTCCCCATTGTTATCAACAACTTACTGCCAACGATTGCACACTTCTTGTTCCTATATAACCGTAGTGTAGATGTTTCCAAAATATTTTTATAATTTCTTGAAAGTTTGATTGAGATGGCGGATTGAAATTTAGACAACCTAATATAAATTTATCAGCCCGTACAATCAAGATAATCCTGTAATCCAGATTTTTCAGTTTAGCTGAAGCTCTATGAAAATTCTTTCAGGGTAGAGAAAAATAATATAGAGTATTGAATGGGATGTTCCCACCTTGAAAAAGGGATATAAAATCAAAAAAACTTGATTTCTAAAATTTCTTGAAAACTATGAAATGTACAGAAAAACGTTCGAACAAAATGTGTAGAGAATAAGATTTTACATAACAAAAGATTCTTAGAGTTTAACTCCTATCTTTTGGGCTGTTCAATGTTTCTTTTTTTGCTTGGGGTGAATAAATCTTTTTCATTGCTGTTAATTATTTTTACTAATCCTTAAAACATTTATAAAAAATTTAGACCATGTTGAAAAATCTAGACTTCAGGAATATAGTGACTAATATTCGATAACCCGAACAAGAATAATCAAATTTGCAGATATGTTTAATTCTAAACATTAATTAGATTTTTATTCCTTGGATTCTTTCTTCAATATTACTGATGTTTAGCTAGATAATTAGTGATTTAATAATTGTATAGCAACTTGCTCTGCTAGAAAAAGAATATTTTCTCCAGTGAAAACAAATATATTAAAGTCACTTACTTGCTAGCAGTGAAAATATGTTGTTGATTCGTCACAACAGCATTAATAGCAGATCCATGTGCTCTAATTTCTCCCATTTGTGTACATTCACCAGCTTGATCTCTAGGAACTGACCAAGCTCGAAGAATTCCTGCTCTACATCCTGAAATGAGCACTGATCCACTATTTATTGTACACAATCCTAAAATCCAATCTTTATGAGCATTGTTTAACGATTGGATCAACTCCATTTTACTTAAATCCCATCGTTTTATACACATATCTCTAGAACCTAAAATAAATTCAACAAGTTATATTCTGTATATAATTTTTGGATGATTTACATTTGATATAAACTATTAATTAATATTATTAAATTTATTTATAATAAACAAGATAAAGGGATACGTTGACAGTTGATCTCAATCAACTAATATTACAATAAGTTGGTTCTAATGATTCTTATTAATCTCATTGCCTGCTACAACTTTTTATTAACTTTTCTCTCTCTCTCACTCCATGGCCAAACAGAAGGCAATTAGAAAAAGCCAAACGAGCTTGAAAAATTTTATTAGCTCGACGAATTTACTCTCGATCTCAAAACTAGTGTAGTGTCCTATAAAACGTTTCACTTCAATGAAGTGGTACGAGTCGTTAGAACCAGTTGTAAAATTAGTTATTGTGAGATCAGCTAACTGAGACTAGTTGACACGAAACCAATATTAAAAGGTAAATGTTTAACGTAATATTACTTTTTATCAGACTATTTTAATCATCATCGTTTTACTTACCAGAGAATAAAATATTGCCACTTGGAGCCAGACATTGTACACCATCGTAATGTGGTGGTGCTAGACTAACAGATTGTCCAGAAACATTTGTGTCAAGCAAGGAAATTAAATGGTCTTTACTTCCAGTAATAACTCTACCATCCTGAGCAACAGTCAGACACATAACAGCAGCAGTATGTGGTGTAGTGAGTCTTCCTGAATATGTCAATTTTCTCAAATCCCATATCCGTACTTTATCACTCGATGCAGTATAAATCTCTTGTTCATTTAAACTCAAAGCAATGTCATTTATTGTCGTTTCTCCAACAGGTAATTGAAGTGTTCTAGAAGGTGTTGAGAGTGATATAGGCCCACTTTGAGCTTGTCCAGATGAATAGAGTGTTTTAATGCATGAATTTCCAAGTCTTAAATCCCAAACTTTAACATAGGCCGCTGAAACACTGAATAGAAGATTGTGGAGACGAGAATATTTGACTGCTACCACATTATTGGGGTGTCCACTTAATGTCATATTCTCTAGGCCTGATCCCAAGTCCCATACTTTTACGGAGCGATCTATAATTATTTTTAATAACATTAATTAGTTTTAAACAATTAAATTAGATTTTAATTAGATAGTAAAATTAGATAAAAATGATCATTTAAAGATAATAAAATTGAAAAGGTTTTGATAACAATTTCAATATATTTTCCTTATTGATTGACAATAATATTTGCTTCGAGTGATTTATTATAATCTTGTTTAATAGGTTTTTTCATAGAACATAGTTAGAATTATTGGTCTTCTTGCAGCCTTTGAAATTTATTTTTTTATTGGATCTTCCAAAATAAAATTAAGAGGCTGCTATCCAGTTATAGGACGTAACATTTTTTACTGTTGTTTTTTTTTTTAATATACTTTTTTTTTCTTTCAACATTCATTTCCTATAATATATTATTTTTAACACACTATTCATTCAAATATTTTAAACAAATAGTTTATAGTAACTTTTGAGCAATTTATCTAACTTGGACCAAAAAAATCCAAAAGCGATCCTAACTCTTACCTTTCGATCCACTGAATAGTAAATCAGGAGTCGCATCAATTGCCAAAACAGCCTTACTATGACCCTCAGCTACATGAGTACATTGCAAAGTAGCTCTTGGTTGTACCTATTATGATAAAAAATAAATAGATAAATAAATGAAAATTATTTAAAATTAGTTAGTTAATTTATTGATTGATTAAAATACTCACCTTTCCTGGATAAGACGAAATAATACCTTTGGTAGGTTGAGGATCATGTGGAAGCGACTGACGTGTCGCTGTAAGTCGTGAAAAAACATTTTCCTCTCGACTATTGAATCGACGATAAATCGTTGGTGAACCAGGTGGTGATGAAACGTCCAATTGTGATACTTGTTCCCTAATTGTTTTTATGCGTTATTGTTAAAGTGTTAGTTCGGATTAATAAAGAATATGTTTGTAAACAAAAAATAATAAATTTTAAAAAAGAGCCCATTTTTTTGTTTCAATAAAAAAAATTAACATAAAAATTAATTAATATTAATGTTAGTTAATTTTGTTAATCAATTAAAATATTCAGTAAACAAAAAAATTTCATTGAAAAATAATTGATAATTAAATACTTGACAATTAATTAACATTAATATAATACAAAAGATTTTATTAATTAATTTATAACAAAAGAAAAAACACTGAATAAAAAAAATTTGTTAAAAAAACTATACATAAATAATATAAAATAATATTATGAAGTAAATAAATTATTAAATTTGTTAGATTATACTCTTGGTAAGTAAATAATTTGTTTTCTTAATAAATTTTAAACCCTAAAAGTACGTACGTGCTTAAATATTGACAATTACGTAATTAATAATAACAAAAAAATATATATTAAATACCAATAGAACAAAAAAATAAAAAATAAAATAGACAAAAAAGATATTGATTTGAATTCTCAATCATGAAGAAGTTGATTATGGTCGATAAAACCTTGTGCGTAGATAATTTAACAGGGTGTGTGTACATGTTCTCATGCTTCTAGTGCTTGGAGGTGCTATAAATGATGAAGAGTGCATGATAGTTGATAAAGATAATTCAATAATAACATAAATAAATGATAATAATAATAAAATAAATTATTTATCATCTTGAATGGTAAAAAAAAGTGTAACCAAAGCGAAGGATCACTCACATGGAACCACCTCCAGGGTGAGGTCGACGCAGTGGTCTTGGTGATGTGCTATCACGCCGACTTAATGTCGGTGATCCACCGCCAGTGCTTCCATGCTGACTTCTAGTCAATACCAAACCCCTGGTCAAGCCCAAAGTGCTAGTTAGATTCAGTATACACAACAACATCCCCAACAATATTTCATTAAAACACTTGCACATAGGGATTAAGTGTTAATTTAGAACTTACTTAAGACTTCCAGGAGCACTTGGTACTCGGGTTAATGGATGGTTATGGTTTTGATTCTGCTGATCAACTTTAGAGTTATCATTTGATGTGTCAACGCCGTATAAAAGTTCCTGTGGTTGGGTTGTTCGTCGACGAACTTTGTTGGTCTTTTTACCTTCAGCGATTGACACTTGACTGTAAGTTTCGCTGCTGAAAATTATTAAATTAATTGTAAGCTTTGCATAGTTTAGTTGAGGTATTTCTGTAATCAAGATTTTTCAGCATAGTAAGAATTTTCAACAATTCATAGAATTTGAAAACTATAAGTGATATAAAAAAAAGTTTCGAATAAAAGTTAAAGACCTATTTATTTTATACAAAAAAGGTCATTAGAGTTTATTCTTTATCTCTTGTAGTTTAATTGCAAAATGAAGATAAAAATACAAGATTGAAAACTAATTTTTCATGGGAATAATAGATTTTCTAATCTTTAACATCATTTTTTTTTAATCAAAAGATCTTTTACTTTTATCAACACTTTTTTTCATATCTTGCATAATTTAGAAGATAATCAAAAAAAAAAGAGTTAAAAATTTTTTAATTTAACACAAAAAAGATTCTTACACTCTAACTTCTATTTTTTATAGTTGAATCAAAAAATGACATTAAGTTTATAAAATTAAGAAAAGAAATTTAACAGAAGTGTATCAAGAATTCTAAAATAATAAAAGTAATGGAAGATTATTAACTTCCCAGTGGGAAGTTATACTAATGGGTCCGATTTAGCGAATCCCGAATTTTGACATATATCCACGTTTTAGGGTCCCCAGAGTCGAATACGACCGTTTTCCAGTGGACGTTGGTGTGTGTGTATGTAGAATTATTTTTAGCCTCGATTATCTCGAGAACAAAAGATGATATCGACGTGGAACCAAATGCATTCGACGCGTAATTACGCAACTTAGAACTGATAAGATTTTCAGCAAAATTGGTCCAGTCATTTTTTTTGTAGAATTAAAAAACTGGAAAAAATGGTAAACTATCTGAATATGAATATTAAATGTTTGAAATAATTGTATAGAGATATGATGGAGATATTTCATAAAAGAAAAAATTTTTAAAAAACAGAATCAGCAATGAAAAAACTTTAAACTTATGTTGGGATGGTAAAAATAGCATTGAAGACAATATAATAGTCAATAATGATTGTTGATAACATGAAATTGTGTTTATAACAATTGAATATTGTTAATAACAAATGATCATGATAATATTTAAATAACAAATTTTAAATTGTTATAAACAATAAAAAAAGATATCCATGCGATATATTTGAATTCTTCCAACGCGTAATTTTTTCTTTTACTAAAAAAAAGTTACCAACCGTATGACACAAATGGAAACTCCCTCTTTCTGTTTATAACAATTAAATCTGTTATAAATATTAGGAAACGGGTTGTGTGCAAGGTATTGGAGTTTATCTTACACAAATTTTCTGTAATTAATAAATATAAAATAAATAAAATCAATTCTCTCTATTGTTTTACTTTATTTTAAACTTCATAAAACACTCAATATATTTTTCTAGTTATCATTTATTTGTCAATTCTTTTATATCATTCATATTTTTGTTGTTAATTACATATTTAATTAATTAAATCTCATTAATTAAATAAAAGATCTGAGATAATAAAATTTAAGTACTATTTATCGATAATAACATTATAAAATATGTGTATGTCGTCATCTAATGATTTTCAAACTAACGACAGTTTTGTAAGTTGTTGACGTTGCTTGACGCTTAGAATGTTTATAGCAACGAGGGGAAAGTTTGTTTATCTCCAGTTTTTGACTGAGATTTGAGTTGAAAGGACGTCTTCTTATTGATTCAATTGATAACTGTTAATCTTTAATAAACATTTTAATTATTTTATTAATTTCTGAAGTTATTTTTTGGTTGTATTTTACAATATTTTGTTCAAACTATATTATTTTTAAAATACCAATTTTTAAACAATTCCTGTTTAGTCTTTTGTAAGTTCAGTTCAGTATCTCTCAGTAAAGACAACTTTCTTCTTCTTTACCTCACTTCCGTCCAAATAAATTCTAATATTTTTAACTTCCCATTAGGAAGTTATTGTAATTGGGTCAATTGGTGAAATTTGAATTTTCATTAAATCTCCACGTTTCAAGATATTTGCAAGCATACTGACATATTTTTAGAATGATGTGTGTATATAAATCCGCCTATATATCTTTATCGCCTCCGCGTTTTTGAGTAAAATTATTTCATTTTTTTCAACTTTTTCTTCAAACTATCACCTAAAACTATTATCTTCTTAGTCCTCAATTATAACAACATTTGTCTTCAAATCTTACGACACCAATTTTTATAATATTTACAGGCCATCAAACTTAATAATTCTCTTGGTAGCAGGTTCCACGTTGCAATGATTGATAAAAATATCTAATTAGTCAACATCCAACTGAACAAAGTTACCAGCAATCATCTTGCCTTGATGATTCAAGTGTTGAAAAATATACAATAAAATAAGAATATATTTGAATATAAAATTTTGTTAGTTACTTCGTTTGACATACACATAATTTGTATTCTTCTATTTATTCAATTAAATAAACACTGTTTAATAAAGCTGCTTGTCTTGTTATATGTTCAACATAGGTCAGATCTGAAAATTTTTAAATATTTTTATAGTTGGCTCTTTTTTTTTGCAAACATTCTTTGCTTACCATCAGAGTTTATCATAAGCTGTTGTCTTAAATATGTAATTAAATACATATTTTGTTATCATAATAAATACCAGTCTAATAAAGAGGTTCAATTTTAATATCATGAATGTCTATAAAATCTTGAAGTTCATCATTCCCTTCTTTAGCAGACTCAACTTCTGGCAAGTCTTTAAAACCAAAACGTCTTAAAAGAATTTTATCAGCAAGTTCTTTAAATGTTATTACTGTCTGTAAATCTCCACGTGAACTGATAATTATTCGATCACCAAAGTGTTCATTTAATTTAGCTTCTACAATACATTTGACAGGTCCAGGTTCACCCATTTCTTTAATTATATCATCAAAACTCCATTGACAATGTTTATTTTGTTCCAAAATAGTAAATAAATCTTCAAATCGTTTTAAATATTTTGGTGAAAATATTTTATTAGAGTCATCATACTCTCGAAGATTTAAAAAACTTTGAGCACAGTCTGAATGATATTGAGAATTAAGTAAGGATAAATCTTTAACAAGAAGACGTAGTCGAATCGACCGTGCATAATACATTTTCGTATTAAAATGACTGCGCGCCCGCTTGAAGGTTAACAACCATCAAAGAAACTTCATCAATTAAATTTAAAAATGCATTAAATACACGTTGGATAAGTGTAGAATTTAAAAAGAAATGTTTTACAACACGTCTTAAACATTTTCTTTTCTTTTTCTCAGCATTACAATTTTCACCACAAAAAACAACAACGTGAATATTCAAATACTTGTGACAAAGGATCAGTGTCTCATTCTTCAGTTAAAGATTTATCAGCTAAAGATTTTTATTTAATTACTATTTTAATGTTCCTTTTAGAAACATAACTGACTCGGCATGATTTATGAACATGAATCCATGGATTGCACTTAATCCAATTTTTCCACTTATCATCACCTCGCGATTCACTTATGTTGATCAAAGTTCGTATCCCTCGTTGATAAACAGCAACTTTTTTGTCCGGTGCAACTTCACAATCACAAATACCACAAATATCAGGATATAGAGACATTTTTTTTGTAATTAAATAGATTTGATGCGTGTTCATAGAAGTACAAAACAATAATTATTTTTGAATTAGGCTATGATAGTAATTTTACTACAATCAAAGTGGCTAAATAGGAATAATCAGCACTATGGATGCTGGATCGAAGTTAAAAAATCGATTTAAATCATCACTTTGATTGATTCTACGAAAAAATCGATTTTGATCAGTCAACATCCTATATTTTGAACATTTTTTTATTTTTAATGGTATTTTATAGCTAAACTATGAACAATGCAAAAACAAATTTTGAATAAAAGTGGAAGATCTATTCATTCTATGTAAACGAAAAGGCCATATGAGTTCATTCTTTAACTCTTAAGGTAAAACTGTAAAATAAAGATAAAAATAAAAACAATATTAAAAATAAATTTTTCATGTAAAAAATTCATTTTTCCAACCATTAACGTCATTTCGTAGCTAAACTATGATGAGCTAAAGTCTAGAGAGCTTTTTTGCTTAAAATCAAAATATCTATAAATTTTATCTAAAATTTTTTTCCATGTCTTGCATAGTTTAGAAAATAATCGCAAAAAACTAGATTTGGAGTAATAATTATTCTACTCCTTATCTGGTGTAGAAGCCATCTTTCCAGTAATTATTTTTCTTAAGGCTAGGCTTTACATAAAATTTTAGCCCTATTAGCTGAAGCAGAAAGTACCTAAAAAATGATATGACGAAATACATCCTAATTACTGCGTTCTATTATGTAAAATGATTTTATTCATAATGTAGAAGGTGGCAAGGATTTCAGCAGATAAATTTTTCCAGCGAAAAATTTGTAAAAAAAGAATAATTAATAATTTTCTCTTGACGGTCATGAAGCATGACAAATCTAGTAATAATTCGATGACAATTTTCTTTCTAATTAAATTCAATTAAGATGTAAATTAATAAATTAAAATGTTTACCAGCGGCATTCTACATGAAATAGGCTTTATTTTGATACTAAAATCAGTGGATATAATTGCAAAATGGCTGATACATTAGTTATTTCTCGACTTCTTGGGATTTTCTAGGAGGATACCGAAGTAAAGCCCAGCCTTAACTATGAAAATGTTTCTCAACATTTTGAACCATACTGAAAAACCTCGATTTCACAGGTTCAAAAAAGGGACTATATTAACTTGGTGAAGAAGATAGGATTGTATATTATTTCAATATATTCAAGAGTTAGCTGACGGAAGACGCAGCATGCTCGTTAAATAAACGAATAAACCATATTACTGACTAGACCATAATTTTACTTTTGTTTTTTTTATATTAGTATGTAATAAAAAAGAAGGATATTTCAACCATTATGACTGATTTCCCCACCTCCAACTGTACAAATAATTATCATCAAGTATTGAAATATCCTACTTTTCTCCTTAGATGGATAACACCTTATTACTTACTTATCTGGTGATGAAGACCTTGAACTTTGTGGGCTATATCCCTGATGATGATGCGAAAGTGACAAAAGATCACGATCTCTTAACACATGTTCAAGTAATTGATGTTGAACATCATTTTCCTGTGCAACTTGATTCAACCTCGATTCCATATCCCGCACTTCAAGTTGTTTCTGTGCAGTAGCAAAACTCTGATCAACCGTAAAAGTTAGCATCCTTTGAATAAGATATTGAGCTTCATCAACACTTTTAACGGACGACACTAAAGCTTCAACACCCGGTTCACCATCATCAGCATCACCCATTTCTACCATATCCCTTTGGCACTCAGCAATACTATCTTGAACATAAGCAATTTTACTTTTAATATTATCAATGTCTTCATCAATATCAGCAGCATTACGATCATCTCCACGGCTTGCTAAACTATTTCTATATTTCTGAAGTCGCTCTAGATCTCTACCAAGTTCCTCCCTCTCAGCCAAAAGTCTTTCCATTTCTCTTTCAGTCTCAGCAATAGCTTGCTTTGCTAAAGCTTGTTTAGTAATAGTTCTTTCAAAAGTTTGCCAGCGTTGTTTCAAAGCTTTAAGATTAGGAGGTTTATTAGGGACACGTCCAGCAGCTTTTTCACTCAATCCTCTATCTCTTTTTCTTAAAGCCGTGACCTCTTCTTGTTTTCGTCTCAACACAACCTCCTTCATCCGCCTATCAGCTTCTAGAGTTCTGATCATATTAGCATTCTTACGGCTTTCTTTTCTCAACTGTGCTATTTCTCTATTCCTTTTAAGTTCATTCTCTTTATGCCTCTGTGCTTCTTCTCTCATTTTATTCAAAAGCTTCACTTTCGCTCTCTTCATCTCCGCCAATTCATTCTTTAAACCCCTCAACCTATTCTCATTCTCCGTTTGACTTTTCAACAATTTGGCATGCTCTTTCTTAGCAGATTGAAGTAACTTGACTTCCTTCTGCATCGCTGAAAGTCTCTTTTCATACTCGTCTTTCAATTTTTTTACTTTCTCTGTAGGTGGTGAAGTCTGTTGCTGGAGCGACGACAATACTTTATCCCTTTCTTCCTGAGTATCACGAATTCTAGCTTGAAGTTGTGCTAATTTATCTTCATAGTGTTGTTTCATAGTCTGCAATCTCCTTTGTGACAATTCTAACTCTTGAATAAGCCTCTGTTTGACATCAATATCTGAAGTTAAAGCTTCTAATTCTCTACCAATAGCTTCCTCTTCTTCATCTTCTTCTTTACGATCTTCATCATCAGAATCATCTTCACTCAATGATTCTTGACCATTTTCCTGATCTTCCTCGTCATCAAATTCCTTCGTTGATCCTTGTTGTTCTTTTAAAGCTGCCAAAGTATCAATTTCTTTTTTCAATTCCCTCTTAGCTTCAGCAATCAATGATGAAGAATCATTGACCGGATAAGACTCAGCATATGGATTAGCAGCTTGAATATGCATTTGTCGTTTCTTTAACTGCTGATACATAGCTTCAGCTTCAAGTAATCTAGCACCTAATTCTTCAATCTCTTGAACATAACCAAGTACAAGACTCGAAACATCTTCACCACCAGATGAAACCCATTTTCCTGCAGCTTTTTCAGCAAGAAGTAATGCATTTTTAGCTGTTAATGCTTCAACAGTTTCAGAAAGTGCTTTAACTCTAGTTCTCAAACTCTGCATTTCACTATTTAACATCTGATTTTCATGCCAAGCATCATTAACACCATCACCAACAACTCTTTTACCCTGTCTATACTCTAATAACTCCAACTGAAGCTGTTGAATTTCTCTCCTTAGTGATGCGATAGTTCTAGAACTCTTGTCTTGATTGATCATCACCTTGTTCTTAATATTACGAGCACGATTAGCATATTTTAAAGTACTCAAGGTCTCCATAAAATCTCTATCACTTGGAGAAACACAAGCAATCATACACGTTTGACTGTTTCCACCTAAAGAATCTTGGAGGAGTCTAGTGAGTTTGGAATCTCGATAAGGCACATGAAGAGCTTTCTTCGATTTATCACCAAGAGCTGAAATGACATTTCCTAATGCTAAAAGCCCGCAATTTATTGAAATACCTTCCTTAGCACGATCTCCAGTTGCACCAGTACGTTTTAATCTCTCAGAACCAGCTAAATCAACAAAATGGAATTTTGCTGTTAAAGTTTCAAATTCATTCATCGGTTCTGTACTACTTGTATCAACATCAGCATCTGGATCTTCAACTTTAATGCATCTCTGCTGTTTTATGTATAAAGTAAATATCGCGTGAGACCTTGATGATTGTGTATTCATTTGTGTTGATCCTGTTGTACGTGAAAGTGCACCTAATCGAAGGTATTCTAGTGCTTGCTCTGGACTTGTTACGACTCTTGGTTCAACACCAGCTAAATGTATATTCCCTGATGTGTCTTCGTGAATTCTAGCACCTCCCCGAGGTCCACCAGGCTCTAAAAGATCTTTTAAATCTTCATTGTAGAGCTCGAGAAACTGTGCTGTCACCTGGAATGCAAATAAATATTTAGTTAATAAAATTTTAATTGAATTGTTTTGTTTAATAGAATATTTATTTAATTTTATATTTGTTTCTAAAAATTATTAAAAAATTAAATGTATAGTTTGAAGATATTTGTGGAAAGAAATATTTCTTTTAAACCAAAAGAGCAATAAAAAAATAAATTAATAATTTTTTTTGATTGATAATAAAATTATTTCCTGATCCTATTTTCAATAGTTCAAGTACTTGGCAATTGGTCAATATTGTTTGAAGTAGATAGAGCTTAATATTGATTTTATACTCCTGTTTGAATCCTGATTTATTAATAATAATTGATTTTTCTTTACGGAAAAACACTTTGGAAATACAACACATTTCCTTAAAGCATAATTCTTTAAATATTTTATGAAAAACTTTCTTGCAGTGTCGTTTGATCGAAATTAATAATTTACGAGTGAAATTTTAGCTTTAATTAACAATAAAAATTCTTGTATTAATTCCTATGCAAAGAATAATAATTTTTTTTTATTAACTTTCCGATTTTCTTCAGTAAAATATTTGTAGCGCATTACAATGCAATTTCAATTAAATTTCTGGTAAAACGTAATTTAAAAAATCTAATGAATAATTTTCTATAGTTGAAAGTAATAAAAAGGTTTTAAAGTGCACTTGAAAATCAATCGCATCTATCAGCTTTGTTTGCATACATTCATTATACCTGTGTGATCATCGCTGTCTTTAACTTTATCGTAATTCTATTAACATTGCATTTGATTATTTTTCATTATATTTCTATTGTCTTTGTCATCCCTCCTCTTCTTTTTACAACAGAATTTGTAATCATTATGTTGTTGGACCTTGCATGGTGTCCAAAGAAATGAATAAATGAATAAACAAATGATTAAATGGAAGAATAGAAATAAATATTGAATAAATTAGAAAATCAACTTTACTAATTCTACAAAATGATTTAATTTTAATCAATTGTTATTCTTTCTTTCATTAACATATTTTTATTTACAAAGAAACTACTTTTTAAAATACCCTTTCATCGCATGGATTTTAATGCATTTTATAGTTAATACATTTTTTTAACTAAAATATTTTTTTTGTCATTGGATATTTTAACATTGAAGATCTTATTCATAATTATATCAGCAATTTTGTTGTTACATTGAATTAATATTCCTTATCTACTACTTTCTCTGTTCCAAGTACTTTGAAGTAATCTACTCCTTCTTTATCTTCAACAGCTGATTTGGCATAAATTATTCCCCCAGGATTCAAACTTGAGCATGAAAGAGTGCTTAGTAACGGAACCTAAACATTCTGTCCACTAGACCATCAACTCGTAATGATTTTAATGATTAATTATCACTAAAAGCTGTCTCCCCCAACGTAAATTAACAATTCACAGCTGTTCTAGGTTCTAGTTTAATTGATAGAAAAACTTTTCAACTCAATTATTATGGGACCCAAGTTTATAATTACTGGTCTCGTTAAAAAAATTGCTTTTTAAAAAGTATTTAAATACAAATACTGCTTTAATTAATGACATTAATAAACAATATTATTCGAAAATGAAAAATTGTGGTTTTCTTTTTTTGTGTGGTTACAATTGTAATCTTTTCAAATAGATTCAATAGAAGGTTTAGATTTTTCGCTGATTATTTTATCTTATATTCAAGCTAATTTTAATGATTGAAAGTCTACTATCTTATACTAGATCGTATACAATTTCATATTTTTCATGATTAAATTTTTTTTTAATTATAAAATGATTTACAGGCATATTTTTCTTTTCTGTTTTTTTTAAATGAAACCCTTTATTAAATTTCAACAACAGCTTTTATTTACATTCATCTTTTCAAAAGTAGTTTAAAAATGGGACTCCAATTTCAATTGACTCCAAGAAAAATTCCACTGACTTTCTTTCTTTTATAAATAAATATAATCAAAAAATCTCTTGTTTTATCTTCAAATGCAAATTTTTATTTCACAAATATCAAGCATTGATGCATTACCACGAATGAGTGCATTCGATTAAGATAGAGGCACTAATGCTCGATGTTTTGAAATAACACATGTATTCACTGCAAATCGTAGTGTTTTATTTTAATACACTTAGTGTGTTTTAAAATGACGTCACCCATTTGATTAAGATTGTAGTAACTTTTTATACATTTCCAAGTGCATTAAAGTAAAACACTACGATTTACAGTGTTGGGCTTTGATCTTCCAGACGAAACTGAAAAATTCTAATAGTCTACAAACTGGTCGACTTCAGAGATCTTTACAGCCTCTATAAAAGCTTAAATTTTATATAAAGAGTTAATAAATGTATATTGATAACAAACATGATTATGAATCAATAAATATCTTTTTCATTAAATATATTGTAAAATATTTGAATCTGTATGCTCGACCATCGACTATATTTGTTTATGTTAATTTATGAGGCGAGATATAACTAGACATCTTATTCCTTTAATTGTTCCGCCATAATTGATAAGCAATTCTTCAAATCTTTATAATAATTCTTGAATAATTTTTTTATTTTTGTTATAATATTTGAGTTTAATACTTTGTTCAAAACTCCCAGCACTAATGCCATTACTTTCATTTATCTTCACAAAGTATTTTTAAATGATTTTCTTTGAAAAAAACACAAAAAAAATTCATTGAATAAATATTACCTTAAATTCAGGTGGCATATGAGCCCTTTCCCTAGCCTTCCTTTGCTTTTCAGCAATGCCATTAAACAAATGCCGTATAGCTCTAGGAATGATACCAACAACATGGTCATCGACTTCGACATCAAATCCAGTACCCATTGTATAAGTTTTACCGGAACCAGTTTGTCCATAGGCCAAAACAGTAGCATTATAACCATCAAGAGCACCTTCAATAAGTTTAGAAACACAAGTCTCGTAGATTGTATGTTGCTGAGCATCCGTGTCAAATACATAGTCATAAGTAAAAGCCTTATCCGGACCAAGAAATACTTGAGGTTCACCTGGTGGTACTTGAGTACAAATTCTGCACATGTCTATCACCTCACGAGCTACCTGAGGACGAATCCTACGAAAGACAATGAATATTAATTGATAACAAAACCATTCAAGTACTAATTTTATTCATTTATTCATCATGGTCATCATTATTTTAGCTGTAGATCTTTATTCAAAGAGGAAGCATCGAATTTTGAATAAGAAAATCTATTAATTATGAAACAGAGAATATATTTAAAACCTACGAATATTATAGTGAAAGTTGTTCTGATGTTAATTTTGTTGAATTTTATGCTTTATTTTATCATTTTTTTCTCTTTTTATCTAATTAAACTCATTAATAAAAAGTAAACGATGCTTCATTGAGTGTTGAAGATGTTGAGTTGAGATTAATTAAGATGAAAAATTATTTAATGCTGTTTCTTAGTTGGATAAACAGATGAAAATAAGTTATTTTTAATCTCTGGAAAAACTTGTCATAGATTCATGACCTTGTCGACACCTACAAGGCTAATTTACCCACCCACGTTAAAGGAAATTGTTTTTATGCGCACCAATGCAGTCTGTAAGCATTTTAATTGATTTAATTGAACACGAGATCTTTTTTTAATGATGCATTTTTGGAGTTAAATATGTAATAAATGAAATTATTTGAATACAATGTCATGTATTTATCTTTTAGGATAAAACAAGTCCATGAAACTATTTTTGAGACCGTTAAGAGGTTAAAAAACTCTCCTATTTTTATCTTCATTGTCTATTTTTTTTGTTTACTCTAGTATTTTTATTGTTTCAAGAATTCACTCACCTAACTGCCACCCGAACACTCGAATCGTCAGTCATTTTGTAATTAAATAAATTCGGTTCAAAATATCAAACAAATGAATGAATTTTCAAAATAATAATATTAATTATCAGAATAAAGTGATCATTATCACTTAAAATGCAAATTTCAAAAATTAGCTGCACATTTAAAATTTTTAATCAAATATCGCGTTTGTTATTATTCGATACAAACAAATTTTAATTTCATTATCATTAAAATTGGCGTCATAATTGAAGCATTATTGCAGATTCTGTTGAATAAATCAACAAACGGAAACATATTTTTGAAACAAATCAATAAGACAGACTAGAACAAACAAAATGATGGATAAATAATCACAAACTGACTGAGTTTGTTCGATTTACGGCAACCGTATATGGAAGCCATCTTGACTCTTCAATAAAATCTGAAGAGAGGGAAAAACTTCTGGAACTATTCTCTTTTAACCGTAAGATGTCGCATGGTGGTCCGTTACCGACCGTAGAAAATAACTTGCAGCCAAAGAATACTGTCTTACCTAGAAGTCCGGAAGTGGCTTATTCGGGCACGACTACGGTTTCCGTGGCGCCACGAAATGACAATGAATTTCAATAGAACAGTCCAAAATAGGACAAAAATGAAGAATAAAATTTTTTCATATCTCACTTAGTTTTCGAGATATTGATACTTGAAATTTTGGGTTTATATGGGCCTATACATGGACATAATTTTGAACTACAGATTTAGAGGGTTCTCTCCGGTGGTTTAATGAAAAAAAATAGTTGGTACATTATTTTGGAGTACCTTTTCCCATTTTAATCCTCATTGAAAAGAGTTCAGGTACATTATTTTATAGCACTGTTCAAGGTTGGCAAGGCAATTATAATTGTCAAAGGCTAAAGTTTGACCACCTAGACTGAAAAATATAATAAAGAAAAAGTTAGTCATTTTTAGAAAAGTACTTGCATCTTCTAAAGTTTTGGTAATTTACAATTAAATTTGTACATCTTCGTTTCAGAAAAAACTAGTTATGTCTATTTTAGAGTATTTACGTGATTTTGAAAATTTTCAGAGGATTTTCCCATTCCTAAATTGTAAATTACCAAAACTTTAAAAGAAGACTTTGACTATTTCATAGTAGCTTTATCTTCTAATGGTTTTCCCCATTCAAACCCTTATTTACAAGAGTTCAGGTACATTATTACCCTAAACTTCTGCCTCTATTCTATCTTAGATTTTATTGCACTCTTTAAGGTTGAAGTGACTTGTCACTGTTACTCTCGATCATTAATTTAAAATATTATACTAAATTAAAATGTATACTAAAATTCGAAAAATCGGAAATTTAATTTAAGTTAAAAATAATTGTTATAAAAAAAAATTTTTTTTTTTTAAAAGATCTCATATTAGTGCGTTGGTAATATTTACCATACGCACTTTTCTAATCATCGATCACGTTTAAAATTAAAAATATTAAAATTTGAATTTAATACGCGTGACTCTACTCTGCTCTACTCATATTACAAAAAATAGAAACTTGAAAAAAAACTCAATTTTATCGACGTCGTTTAGCTGGTGGAGGCAAGCAATCCTCCCAATTCTCGTTAAATTTAAATTTACTAATATAATTTATTAAAAATTTGGACGTTACCGGCGCGTTAATACTGTTAAAAATTGATTGAGCAGTCTTAAATGAATTCGGAGAATATTTATCGGTTCTTTCGCGCATAAATACCCAACGATCGTTCTTGAAACTACATTGAATTATTTTGTCATCGAGCTTTTCTATTTCTTTAGTAACCTGAATGAAACTATATGGTTCGGTTAAACCTCCAATATATAATTGACCAATTTTTCGTGATGAAATACCCATACCTGATTCGACGACTATTTTTAACATGAAATCCACTGAATTCAACGAAAGCGGCTTCCACTTCAAGACGGTTGCTGCAGGTCCAGGGATGTAGGGCTCCTTCGAAGGCTGGAAGATCAGGCCGTCCGGGTCATGACCCAATTGTTTCACAAATTTTTCACCTAGCAAACTGTTCACTTGTGTAATATCCCAAAATTGCTTCTGACGAATAGAAAAGGGTTCTTGATCTCGTCGTATTCGGCTTTCTTTGAATGCTCTAGTTCGGCCTCCTATTATTTCTTTCTCGATTATAGCGTATCGCTCAACAAAGAATAAGTCTGTCGATACATCTTTACCATCACACATGATAATGTCAAAAACTAAGTACCTAGGATATTTAGTATCACTTACTTCATCAATAACCATTTCTCCATCTAATAAAGTATCTTTCAGAGTTCTTGAAACATTTTCACAGTGTGGAAAAGTCAATCCGGATACCTTAAAGACACTATTATTTCTATCAATGAAAAACACTTCTTTGTTTGCTTGAATCAACATCATATATCTAGTACCATCAGCTTTCCATGATACTTTGTATGGTCTGATATTGAATTGAATAATGTTATTCTGGTCCAAAGAGACAGGTTGGGAACCAGGAAAACCATTTCTATGCCATTTACAGATTTCTTGAACTCTTTGTTGAATTCTCTTAACTTTAGCTAAATCTCGTACTAGTTTTACTCCAGGAACTCCAGCCATAAAAACTCGATCTTTTACACTATTTTCTTTACCTCTTTGAATATGTTCACGATTTCCACATTGATTATGTTGTTTTCCATCTCCTTTGAAGTCATCGTATTCTAAACACCAAGTTGGTAGTGGTGGTACAGGAAGTGTATCATTCTCATCATCATATCGCCTGTATAACTCTTTAATGTAGTCTTCCTTATAAATTCCAGGAGGTCTTGCAGTTGAAAATTCGCTCACAGCAGCATCCAAGTTGAATATGTTACTTTCAACCAAGTAACTTATTAAAAGAAACCCAGTTCTATTAAAACCGTGGGTGCAATGAACTCCAATGATCTCAGATGGATTACGAGCAATAAAATTTCTACAAATTTTAATAAAAATATTTGTTTGTTCTATGGAAGGCGTTTCTCCATGGCCATGACATTGAAGCTTGTGATAACGACATCCATATGATTCAACATCAGCTTTATCATAAAACCGGGTGGTATTTGTCAGATCTATTAGTAATCCCATTTTCAATCTTTGACACTTTAATGATGAAAACAGCATGTTCACAGAAAAACGACATTCTTCAGAAACTTGACTATCATATTTTTCTGATAGTGGTGTTTTAAATGCAAGAAACTTATTGTTTATTAATTTTATACTTTTTCGAGGACAGTGTAACCATCGTGGAGGGATCATCCCTTTGCTATTTTCGGCACTCCAACTTGACATTGTTCGTTCACTTGACCTCAACTGTATAAATTACAAACACTCACTTTCACTCTTAAATGTTCGGTTTTATATTACACTTATGCAAATGATGTGTAATAATAAAATTGCACTTGTATTTTCACAAAAATATTGAAGCAAAAATTACACAACGTGCACAGGTCGAGAATCAAATCTCATGTGATTGAAAAATCCTTCTGGTTGGCTAGATAACTAGTTATTGTGCGCCTTCTGGTGGTGAAATCTAATGAAATGTCACCATGCGCCACCTGGTAGGGTATTGAATACCTCTAGCGGCATCTTTACAAATGAATTATCAATTTTATTTATTTTTCTTAATTATTATTAATAAGAAATTTTATAATAAATAGTCGTTCTGCTAAAATCTAAGTAATAAAATAAAGTATTACTAATTAATTGCTTCGAAAAATATGATTGAACAGTAGAAGTGAAGACATTATAAGTATTGTAATCTAAATTGTACTCTTTAAGATTAATATTAAATAATATTGTACATATTTTTCATAATTAATTCAAATTAATATTTGTATACATATATGAAATTAATATTCGTTCATAGTACATTTTAAATTGTGATATAAAATCATACTCAAATTGAATTTACTTAAAAGACGTGTAGGCTCAATCTGCGATCTTAGAATTATAATAATTAGTACACTATTTAAAAACTTGCTTTCAAAAACCTATTACATTAAATTAATTACAATTCATTACATGTGTAATTTCAAATTATGTATTTTTCCATATCTAAATGTTTTATGTAGTATATTTTGAAGTTATAATCAAAGTTATAACTTTAAAATATATCTCATATATTCATTATCTATTATATGTGGAATATTATCAATTAAACTGCCCATTAATTTTATATTCAGTCACTTTCCTGTAATAATTGATCTAAAACATTCATAAACTTATTGTAAACGCCTATCTATTTGAATTAATTGAAATTTTTTATAATTATGTTAAATAAAAAATGACAATTTTCATTTAAATTCTCTGTCTAGTCATCAGTTCATAATTATTAATTATCAGTTTAAAATTTTTTAGAAAAGTATATTTTTTTAAAGACACTATTAGCTATATAATTCGCAATTATTTATTATCAGTTATTAAGAATAATGTAGTAAAAAAATTAATGATCGAGAGTAACAGTGACAAGTCACTTTAACCTTAAAGAGTGCAATAAAATCTAAGATAGAATAGAGGCAGAAGTTTAGGGTAATAATGTACCTGAACTCTTGTAAATAAGGGTTTGAATGGGGAAAACCATTAGAAGATAAAGCTACTATGAAATAGTCAAAGTCTTCTTTTAAAGTTTTGGTAATTTACAATTTAGGAATGGGAAAATCCTCTGAAAATTTTCAAAATCACGTAAATACTCTAAAATAGACATAACTAGTTTTTTCTGAAACGAAGATGTACAAATTTAATTGTAAATTACCAAAACTTTAGAAGATGCAAGTACTTTTCTAAAAATGACTAACTTTTTCTTTATTATATTTTTCAGTCTAGGTGGTCAAACTTTAGCCTTTGACAATTATAATTGCCTTGCCAACCTTGAACAGTGCTATAAAATAATGTACCTGAACTCTTTTCAATGAGGATTAAAATGGGGAAATCCGCTAAAAATTTTCAAAATCACGTAAAGGTACTCCAAAATAGACAACTAGTTTCCTTTGGAACGAAGATGGACAAATCTAATTTTAAAAAAGTACCTAACAAATTGTATACTACAGACATCTTGTGGTCAGAGTACCAACTAAAAATTCCTGGCGACACGAAAAAGCCACTTCTAGGCTTGTAAGTAAGACAGTATTCTTTGGTAATTATTTATCACCTTTTTAACGGACAAATGTTTGTGATGTTACTTCGGTTATAAAAGTGGATTATTTCGATGAATAAAATAACAAATGTCTGAAATTAATGTAAAAATTGAAGTAAAATCAGAGAATGAAGAGGGCGACAATGAAGAAGAGGAAAAAGAAGAAAATTATTTGTGTAAATATTGCGGAGACCCATGTGATCCATATATAAGACCAGCACTCCTATGTTCCGGTGAATGTGTACAAAAAATCCACGTGCGTTGTTTAAAACGTGGTGGAGTGCCCGGAGCTCTTGTAGGAGACGTTTTTTTTGAGCTGTATTGTACTGAATGTAGTCCTTTAAAAACTGAAATTATCAATCGAGGTAAACTGTCATGGCTAAATATCATTGTTTTGACTCTCTACAACTTGAAAGAAAAGTCAAGTGGGATAAGCAAACGAGGATATTTTCATTGGAAATCAGACATCAGTACATTTGTCGACAAAAATTGGGATCACTTATTCCAAAAGACTGTGAAGAGGAAAAAAAATTGGATTGGAACAATATCTGGCACTCTTTCTCATTACAGCACAACTTTTTTTAAGTCTGGGACTACTGAATTGGGCGAGTCTGGCTGGTGGAGGCTCGTCGACAATGATCCACCTGAAATATTGATGAATAAAAATAACAAAATCATCATGGAACGGAAGAAGCAAAGTTTAGGACAGAATAAAATTATTCTTAATCCTGTAAAGGTAGCCAATAGTCCTTCTAGATCTGAATCCAGCATGTCTTTTGGTGAAGACAATTATCCTAGTGTAGATCCATCAACAGCTAATCTAACTCCTTCAATGTTTAGCCGTGAGTATGTTCAACCTACAGAAATCCTTTCAGATTTCCTTCTTGCTGATGACGATGTCCCTGACATTGATCTTCTGGATATTGATGATGGGTTAGACTTTAATGAACAGCCTGATTCCATATCACCTGTTGATTTGGTCAAGGATTTGGATAAGTTTAACTCCTTTTCAAAAGATAATCCTCAAATTTCTCAACTGCTCAATACCTTTAATCCTGAATGGATGAATAATATTCTGAGTCAGGAAAATTTTGATGAGTCCGGAGGAGAAAAGGATAAATTTGGAGATGCTGAAGAACAGTATGAGGAAGAAACAAGTAATGATAGTTGTATTCAGGAGCCAATAATCTCACTGTTTAGAATTAAAAATAAAAGAGATTGGCCTTGGATGAAGCCTGAAAGAACATCAGGTAAGATTATTGCTTGGATAGTAAAATATGAAGATAACATATTCTTAAAAAATATTTGCTGGTAATCATTTTTTATCAATTAGGTCTTCTTTTTCAGAACAAAAAAAGCCAAAAATGGGCAGGAATGAAGAAGACTACATCATTCAAAGCATCAATAAAGCTCATATTGATTCAATGACTCCGTCCTTGAGAAGACTGTACAGAAAATTAGTTGTAAGAAAGCTGAAACGAAGTAATAATGTACCTTTATTCGATATTGATACTTTTGGAATAAAACCAGAATCAAGAATGAACTTCAATGACGAAAGTCATCGCGTTATTGATAGATTTTATAACATCAACTTCAGTGCTATATTTGAACAAAGGCTCTCAGGAACTGTGGAACCCACTGCTGTTCACAGTCCATACACCAATAGAATTCTTAAGCCCTTTATCAGAAGAGATTACTCTTGTCAGCCACTTTGGCTGAAATTAATGCAAGAACTCACTGCTAAAGTCAACAAAAATAATCCTGATTGGAAACCAGAAGATCCAACGAGTATTGATTATTGTTATGTCAGACCACAGCATATTCCTGCAGTTAACAATCTTTGCAGTCAGTATTTTTGGCCTGGTATTGACCGTAAGTATCATTTATACATTAAATCTGATTAAGTAAGAACTACAGGTATAAAATTATTGGAAAAATATCCTAGAAATTTAGTTTTTTGAAAATATTTTGTAAGTTATCAGAGATAGAAAAAAAAGTTTCAGATAAAAATTAAAGATCATTTGATTATACATAAAAAAGTCCTTAGACTTTAATTTCTAGCTTTCATAATTTACCTAGAAAATAATGATAAAGCTTAAAAAAATGTATTTTTACTGAATTTTTGATATCCTTTCATCTTTATTGTCATTTTGCAACAAAAGTATGAGAAAGAGCGAGAGAGAGAGAGAGAATAGAAAAAGTGTAAGGATCTTTTATGTATAAAAAAATAAGAGTTTCAATTTTGATTTACAACTTTCTCTTCTTCCTCTCATTGTTTAGAAGATAATTACAAAAAACAAAACTATACCGGTCTTTTCAAATCTTACTTAATCTGGTTTTTCAAAAATAATCCAAAGATTACTTCAAAATAATCATGTCCTTTTTTGTTTTTTTTATTTATCAGTAACCGACTGTCTTCAGTATCCAGACTTCACTTGTGTTGTTTTGTACAAAAAACTCGTTATTGGATTTGCAGTACTAGTACCGGATGTGAATTATAATGAAGCCTATATTTCATTCTTATTAACACGATCTGAATGGAGGAAATCTGGAATAGGAACATTCATGTTGTATCACTTAATCCAAACATGTATGGGAAAAGATGTAACACTTCACGTATCAGTGACAAATCCTGCATTAATTTTATATCAAAAGTTTGGTTTTAAAATTGAAGAATTTGTTCAAGATTTCTATGATAAATACATGGCTTGTGGTGTACGGGAATCAAGACATGCATTATTTCTACGGCTTAGCAGATAAATAATGAATACATGAAATGATTTACAATCATGCTGAAATATAAATTATTGCAAATACATAATAAATACATAAAATATTTATTTTTAATATATTTTTTTATTTTATTTTGTAATTTTATAAATTAAATTATTTCATTTGTTTGAATATTTAATCTATTGCATTGCTTGCAATTATCTGAGGTTAATAAAACAACAATGTTTGTTATGAAAAAATCGTTATTCAATTTTAAATCACATTTTCTGAAATACTTATGTTACAACAAGAATGAAAACTAAGCAAGAAAAAATTAATGTATGTATATATATATATATATATATATATATATATATATATGTATTTTTTTTTGTTTTAATTACAACTAATAAATTAATTAATAGAGACTTATTTTTAAGCATTAAAAATATTACCTGTGCATTGTATTTTTGTAGATTTTTTTTTATTCTTCAAAATTATCGTCTCTATTTATCTTATGTATAAACTTTCTCGTTAATGTATACAATTTTTAATTATTCAAATTTTTGTTTACATTAACTTCTTTTACGTTTTACGTTCTTTTTTTTTATACATTTTATGCAAGTGTCAGACCCTTATTTTTCATTTATTTATTTTATTAATAAAATAAAAATTTTAATCATTAATACATAAATGAAAATGAATTAAGCGAAAGAAAAAAAAATTGGTTTCAAATTGTTCATTACTATCTTCTATAAGTGAAAGATAATAATAGAGAAAAAAAGAGAAAGATATTTTTTATAAATATAATCATTTTCTGTTTAACAATATAAAGTGCTTATATCAATGTGAATTAAAATTGTGTGCAGTCTCATTTAATGATTCATTGATTTTTTAAAAAATTGTTTAATAAGTGGTAATAATTAATTTATAAATAATCAAACCATTTGTCGTTATTTATATTATTTCTTTTTTGTTTCAATTCTTTTAATTTATAACTCGTTGCATGAATTTGTATTCTTTAATAACAGTTTTTTTCTTGTTATTTTAATTTATCTATGGAGAATACTTTTCAATACTTGGTAATCCAGTAGAAAAATTTACAAAAAAAATCATCATGTCATTACTGTAATAATAATAATAATAATAATAATAAGAATAATAATAATAATAATAATAATAATAAAATTTATTTCTGAATTCTGAAAAGAAGCAATTATTCTAGTGGATGATAATAAGTGATAATCAATTTACAAAAAAATTTCGGCATCTTCTATCTTCTTTTTTTTTTTTTATTTTGTAACGAAAATAGAAAATAATTGACCGCTATAATTATGTAACTATTTATAAAAAATGATTGTGAAATGAATTCCCAGAAAAAAATGACCAAAACTGATTGAATAAGTTTTTTTAATTTATTCAAATTCTAAATTTAATCAAATCTGAATAGATCTCATTAAATTAAAGTAGATTCAATTGAGTAAGAATTCTCGGGAGGGGGGGGAAATAGATCTATAGAGATCTATATTTTTCCATTTTTTTAAATCTACTTAAATCTAAAAAACCAAAGAAAATTCAATTTGCGTGGATCTATATACATCTGGTGAGATCAGTGGATAGATACCCAAGTTATGATCTATCTTCAGAGATCTCTGTTGATTTCGATCATGTAAAGAATTTAATGCAACTCTAAACGTCACATAAGATCTACGGAAATCAAAACAGATGTACGCAGAATAAAGTAGATCCAATTGTGCCAAAAAATATATATCTGAACAGATCTATTTTATTTTTTCACAGGAATTTAGTCCTTGATTGAGTCCATTAAAGTATATTACAATTAGAATTATATTAATTTTAATCATAGTAGATTTGATCATTTTTTTCTAAGACTTTTTCGTTCGTAAAAAAGAAAAATAATGGAAAATAAACACATGTTAATTATTGTTCATTGAATAAATTGTTTATAATAACAATGAAATAATCCATAAAAGCTAAAATTTGTCAGGCACATTTGAAAAATAATAGAGTTTAACTTTATATTATTTATTAGTCCCATATTTCGTTTAATCATAACTTTTTCTTTTAATTTGATCTAAACATTAATATAAATAATGATGATATTAATTAATCAATATATTAATAATAAAAATAATAGTAATCGTTTGATTGTGAAACACTCTTCCTTAGGATTATTAAATCTCTTATTTATATTAATAATCATTTTGTTGATAATATTAAAAGTAGAAATACATATTTTATTGTTCACTACAACTCTTACGAATTTTATTTTATCATTTACTCCCCATTTACCGCAATAAATCGTATCATATATATATTTTTATGTATATATATGTTTTATATTTAATAGTCAGTCCAAGGCAAACATTCGCATTAATACAACGTGTCTACTATTATTTGAAATAATATTAATAATAATAATCATTATGATAATAATAATAATAATAATAATAATAATAATAATAATAATAATAATAATAGTTTGTTATTTTTGTTGTGTAATTTCGTTCTATCTATATATTACTTTTTTTTTAAAAAATGTCTTCTTAACTTCTAAACGTAATTACACAATAATACAATAATTATTATAATTAATTAAAAATAATGAATAATAATTATTGTTTATAATAATCAATTATATTCTTTAATATTTACAGTCAATACTATAATACATCGTGACGTCGATCAGCAATTATTTCATTACAATTAGTTATTTATTATTTTTTTCTTTTAAATAATTCATTCATTTGTTTTATCAAGTTATTATATTTTTTTTGTATAAAGGCAATTATCGATTAATCGGTAAATCGACTTGTCAATTTTTCTATAGTTAAATATATTTTATTTATTAACAAATATTTTTGTTCATTTTTCTATCTCGTTTTTCCTTTTTTTTTGTTTTATTAAATCAATTTATAGATTGATTCAAAGAATTTTTTTTTTGTTTACCTTTTATTATTAATCAAAAATTTTATCGCAAATATTTAGAACTTAGGAAAGTATTTTTAAATCTCCTGAAAGTTTGCTCAGATCAGAATTTCAGAAATTTTTAATATGAAGAGATCTCGTAAGATTTGAAAAAAAATACTAGATGCCTTTATACTGGATGGAAAAATAATGAGACTATAAGTAGGGCTTAAATTTACGGCTGCATATGCGTACAAATCAATGTTTCCGTTGTTGTACCTACGAGCATGCGTAACCGTAATTTTTAGCCCTACTCTTATCCTTATTCTATCCAATGGTGTAAAAGTTCTATCAGTTTATGTTACATGAAATTTGATCAATTTTAGGCAAATCTAGTGCTATCAAACACTAGATCTCTATAGATCTGACCAGATCTAGAGCTTTATGACTCTAGACTTACAAGACCTAATCAAACTTGACCCAATCAAATAAAAATCAACTTTTCAATCTATCTAGATCTCGCCATATCTAAAAATCTCGTAATCTTGATTTCTTATTATGAAAAATTTTTTCCGATAAATCACAAATGAATACGTCAAATGCCTTGAGATTTGAAACTTTGTAATGAAATGAATAATAACCATACTTAATCTTGAACAACATGAAAAAAAAATTTCATTATTAAGTAAAAAAGCTAAATTACATATTTGTTGTCCTATCATTAGTCTTAAACAATTTGTAAGCCAGCAATTCCGTCAGATGTTATTTTTTTTTAATTGCTAATGTACAAATCAAAAGTTCAAACAAGACACGGAGGCTTATTCAAAATAAATAAAGTATTAAATAAAATAATCTTGTGCAATGAGCTTTTAAATTAGTAACAGATAAAATTAATTAACTAATGAATTAATCAACAAATTATCTATTAATAAATTGTATTGATTATCAATAATAATCTATCACTGATAATAACTTTGACTGATAAACTAATTAATTAAATACTCGTGATTTTAACACGGCCTCCTAATGAATTATATCACGTAAATAGAGTATCACGCAGGAGCTTCGGATTTATTTTAATACTCTTTCCGTTGAATATTTTATTAATACAAATGAATTTTGAATTTTTATTTTTCGTATTCAAATAATGAATTTTATTCGATAAATAATCTAATTTAAAGCTTCTGTTTTAAGAGGAATAAACGGAAAAACTTACAGATTGATAGTGTCAAGACTGTGTGAATTTCTGTGTGACATTCCATCATTCGGAGATGTCGATGCATGTTGTTGATTAGCACTCACTTGTTTGCTAACATTATTCGAGAATGGCATAGCAAATTTAAAGTCTGAACCATTTGGTAACTTTCTCATTATTTTTCCAGAAGTTATAAGTCTTCCAAAGCCTTCTTGATGAGCAAAAGCATATCCAGATCGTAATGATCGTCGTGTTCTTCGTGTGGATGGTGTACGTAAAATGTCTTGACTTTGTCGAGATCGCATTTGAGCTAATCTCTGCTTCAATCGGACTCGTTCTGATAATGTTGGCCTTACGTCAATGAAGAAGAACCTCCAGGAGAGTACTGGGATCACCAGAATAATACATGACAATACTGTGGTAAACCAGAATGTTGCTTCTGACATGGCCTAGATAATTAAAAAAAATAATTAAGAATTTGAATCAACGTAAAGAATTAAATTTAATAAAATTTTGGTGGGAAAATCAGTTTAATAATTGTACAATTTCACAGTCATTTGTTCTAGCAAAAAGTGTTAAAAATACTTGTTAATATCTTTAACAACTCTTCTTCCTGTTCTCAATGCAAATACCAATTTTATTACAAAAAATTGAAGAAAAAAAAACTTGTCTCAACATTTTCTTTTAAATAAGTTATTTTTACATGCGTATTATGAAACATAAATGTAAGAATGTGCTCTTTTGGATAGTAATCATTTCCATGATCACAAAATTCATTCATTCATTCACGTTTAGATTCATTTTTATGAAAATAATTTACAAATTGAGAGATTACTATGTAACACAATACTGAGTTATGTTTTTTTTAAAGGTTTGAACAGAATTTATTTATTTGTATAACACAAATCTCAACCAATTTTATGAAAGATTCTTCTTAATTTTAAGAAAATATTCTTCTTTTCCTATTTCTTCAATTATTATCATAAATTTACCGTGAAAATAAACCATTTAGAAAAAAAAACAATAGTATAAAAGTTAATTATCCATTTTTGTATGACTAAAAAACGAGATGACCATAAAAATGTAAAATCACCCACAACTTTTTGATAGTTAAAAAATAATTCTCATGGCGACCATGTGATTTTTGACAAAATTATATTATGATGTGATTAATATCACAGTTTGTGTGAAAAAATAACATGATCCCCATAAGAGAACTCTCAAACTATTTCAAACAATAGAAACATTAAGCAATCAATAGTTAATGAAGAATAATTACCATAGTCAAACTTCCAACGTAGCTTCCTCCAATGATGAAATTATAAAAATAATCTAAAATGAAATACCAAATGACCGAACCCCATACCATAAAGTGATTGACAATCGTCCAATAAGACGTGTCTAAGGCTATTTGAACTGTAACGACGATAACTAAGATTGTTGCTACTACACTGCCCAGCAGCATATGATCTGAAAGTACGTAGCCCTTTGGCGAAACTCCATCTTTATAAGTTCCTGAAATTTTATCAATTATTTATGAGTAAATTTAAACAAAAATAGAATATTATTACTGGACAATTGGGTACACAAATTATTGTCAATTAATAAGAGAGTTTTAAAAATTCTTACCGTATGGTACAAGAAATAAAATACAACTGGCCCAGAATCCATGAAGAGCACTCCAACAAAATTCTTTTTTATTAAAAAGTAAATTCTGTAATCCTGGAGTATATAATTTTGGATACAACAAGCTATTCTTATCGTTTACGTCCTGATCAAACACACCAACAGCCAGAACAGGCAATGAAGTGTAGAATAAGTTGTAGACTGAGATGTACATTGGATCGAAAACAGTCTGAAACGAAGCAATTAAAATTATTTTCAATTCAAAAATTTAAATAAAAATAATCAAAAGTGTAAGCCAGAAAAGGATAAAAAACATTTACATATGAATTAATAATCAGATAATGCTTTAAACTCAAATTTTAAATCTCAACTCCGGAGCAAGCTCAACAGAGGAGTTTCAAAATCGTATTCGCCTTAGACTCATCATAAATATCAATTCTATTTCAAAATTAATAATAAAAGTTCAAATCTATTTTTACAACAATAAACATTTAGGTTTTTTGAAAAAATCCCTCAGATCTGATTGTGCACAATTAATTGATTCATTTTCAAAATCATACTCGATAGACATTTTATTCATAATAATTAAAGACATGAGTGAATAAAGGTTTCATATAACAACATTAAAATGTGGGGAAATTCACAATGGAATGATTTTTAGTTTAATAAACTGTTATGTAAATTCAAACTATTTTTATGTCAAAATATTTTTTGTGAAAATTTAGACTTGTTGATGAAAAAAAATACAACATAATATCTTCATTAACTTATGTATTAAATAATGTCATTTGAACCTGCATCGAAACTCTGTATTAATATTTCTTTTTTAATTATTTAAAAAATCCAAGAGTGCTTATTAATGTGTGAGTTTTTTTTATATTTTGAATGACTGTTGAATTCGGATCCAAGTGATCCTAAAGGAAGGAAAAAATCTAGCAATATGTTGCATTAGTGTGCAAATAATGAGGTCGTTCTTAGACTAGGGTTGCCATCCGTCTGGATTTTCCAGGACATGTCCTCTTTGTTTGACTGGGGAAGGGGGCTGTCTGGGGTACTTTTTTCGAAATGTCCGGGTTTTTTATTTTTGTTTTTTTATCAAAAAGTTCCAAAATTATATAAAAAATAATTCTATAGATGTAGATGTTATTTATGTAAATGAAATTTTTTACATTTCAATTCAATAAAGATTAAGATAAATTTTAAAATATTTAGTAAAAAATTTTAAGTCTGATCTGTCCTGGTTTTTGATGAGATGAGTCCGTGTTTTGTCCTTCGGGTTTTCACCGCTTCAGTCCACACACACGAAAAGAATATCTTGGATGAAGAGAAACTATTCTCTCAGCAATCATGTATTTAAAGCAAAACTATAATATCTTAGCTCGAAAAAATTATCTCGAATCAAGAAAAATATTATCTTGAGCCAACATAACATGATTTTCATTATCTACAAAACCCAGATTATCTTGAATCAACAAAATTTTTCTTGAACTGAGATATTCTTTTTCTGTGTGCAGGGTTTCAAAAATTTGAAATGACAACTCTACCTTAGACAAAACTTATTAGTTTGTAATCAACCTGTCTGTAAACACGAGATATAATAGTCAATGAAGATTTCTGTCCTTGTCTGCAGCAATTAACTAATCATTTCTTTTTCAATATATTCCACTTGTTTCTGTTAAGCACTTGATCTTTATTTCTTCTGAACCTTTTCACACTAATTCTCCACGATAAATTTAACAATAATTAATCTTACTGTAAATGTTAATGTCGTTGGAGTCTGATACTTTTTGAAAATAGATAAATAACTCTAATTAGCTCTACTGTTTCACTGGATTCAATCTGAAGCTTTGTTTACATTAAATTAGATTGAATGAATTTCATAATTTGTGCCTGATCAGATCTAAAGTATCTTTCGCTGGGTTTTACCTGTGCGCTAAATCCACAAAAGAATGCAAACCAGATGTGGCATAACGTGAAAGCGAAATTTTTGTAGAAAAAATATCGAAGAAATTTAGACATTCTGTAGTACGACCATCTCCCATGGACAAACAGCAACCTTTCAAGAAACCTAAATTGTCCTATTGAGTAATCTGATGCTAAGACAGCTTGTAAACCTTCTTGACCACTGATTCCAACACCTATGTGAGCTGTTTTTATCATTGATACATCATTAGCACCGTCACCAATTGCCAGTGTTACAGCATCTTTGTTTTTCTTTATTAGTTCTACCACCATGGCTTTTTGGAGTGGTGTTACTCGACAACAGATCACAGATTTACCTAAAAATTAATTAATTCATTAATATTAATTCATTCATTCATTAATATACGCTTTTTTCTCGCATTTAATAAAATTTTACAAAAATTTACAAAAAAAAACATGTCTTGATGGTAACTTGAGCAACGCTAGACTGATTTGTTTATATTTAGTTTATGACTAAGACTAGAGCAAACCAGACGTCTGTTCTAATTTCTCGTAATTTATCTTTCTCTTTTAATAAACTTTTCAATTGGTTGTAAGTATTTTTAAGTCTTTATTTCGCTCCATTTTATATTTTAAAATAATAAAAAGTGATTACTTACATGAGCTGGAGACTTCTAGAAAAAGGTTTTCCATTTGTGGATGAAGTGCATGAACCAAAGAATGGCCATTAATCACAAAAGCAAATCCTGAAGAAATTTCAAGCTCGTGATCTTCAGGCTCATCTCGATTGTATTCTGTATCACTGCATTTATTGAAACAAATAAAATTTCATGAATAAAAAATTATTACTTTCATATCATTATTAAAATTTTTTTTTTTTATTACCAATGATTATTCATTTATTTATTTATTTAGTTGTATGTAATAATGAATTATTTTATTGTTAAATTATTTATTAACCATAGAGTTGAATAAAAAATTCATTAACAGACTACTAATCAACTACTTGAACAAGAACTTTTTAAAAAAGGTCTGAACTATGAATAATACAGAAAGTGCACATTTTTATGATTTTCTTAAATGCTTAAGTACTAAATCGTAAGAAATGTGATAAGCTGTACTAATTTCTTAACAAATTTCATTCGAGATTAATTTCAAAGCAGTCAGAAAGAGAAGGAGTGAGTATCAAGAAGCATCATAGTTGTTTTTTTCTCTTATTTCTTTTTAATTCCACATGTAAGGTATTCATTTTTTTTTTGTTTTTTTTTAAAGGAAATGATTACGCTGAAAAGATTTTTTAGTTATGTAGCACACGACAAGCTTACCTCTTAGATATTTGGTTGTAGTTAGTTAATAATGATAATAAAAATGATTACGGAAATATTTTTTAGTAAAAAAACGAATTATTAAAATGTAACAAGTAACAAGTGCATAATAATAAAATATGCTAAATATTAAAGATACAATTATTAAAAAAGTTTCTGTACTTTTTTAAAATGATGATTGATTAATCAATAGAATAATATTTTAAAAAATTCTAAAAGTAATATTGACAATGAATTATAATCGTCAAGGAGATTAAAAATAGTTGTTTTAATGCAAGAATTTAAAATAATTTGATTTATTATTTACCTAGAGAGAAAAGTAAGATATTTCAGCACGCAATAAAAAAAACATTATGGAAATAATGTAATATGCAACTAGGAAAGAAATACAGTATTTTTTGCAAGTCACCCCATGTATAACTGTTTCCGACTGAAATAAGAAATTTCATTGCGTGTGGAAATATCCTATTTTACTCCCTAGATAGATAAAATACAACTTTTTATTGAACAGTCATAAATCTTGGCTCATAAAATTTAAGATGTATCTCCTTAATGATTAATCCACTCAAACAAAGCCGTAAAATGAGATTTGAAAGAGATTGAATTAATTTTTTTAGCGACAAGAGATAATAAAAACGATATATATCTATCAGTAAAAAGAGGGATTCGCGGTGCCACATGAAAGGGGGGGGGGGTGTCAACAATTTCTCTAAAAACACTAAAGTCAGTCAGAAATTAATAAATTAGAAATGCAAAGAACAAAATGTACTGTAAGTGTACTGTACTCCATCTCTTTCATTTGCCTGACCTTTCCTTGTCCCACCTGAATGTGACGATCGACAGAGCCGGCCTTTTTTGTTGGCTCGAAGCAGTCTTTATGGTCTCTAAATAACGATTTAATTGTGTTTCAACACCATCGTACGTCGTGGCATCAACAATGAAGACATCCGTGAGTTCGTCTGTTAATAGTTGACATGAATATCCTATGTTGATAGCAGTTTCTGGAAACATTTAATAAAAAGATATTAGATGGGTTATTTTTATTAATCAATCAATACCCTCGGGTATTAGATGGAAGATGAGAAAGTCTTACTTTCTAAAAGTCTTTTTTTATAATAATTATTCTTGAAAGTCTAGACTATTCTGCCAGTAGGTAAAGAAATAGAAGAATTCTTGTGAAAGAAAATATTGTCTTTCAGCATAATATTCTAATGGTTTACAAATAACTGGAAGAAATTTGAGGTGAGATGATTTTGTGTCAAATTATTCTAGTATCCTGCTCATCAATTTACTTGAAAAAATATTTATTGTTTATAAAAAAAATAATAAAAGTCTTCCAAGCATCTAAAATGTGACTACAATGTTAATCAAATGGGTGACATCATTTAAAAACACTTTAAGTGTTTTAAATTAAACCACTACGATTTGCAGGGTAGAGATAAATTTCTTAGAAAAAAATCCCATGCTCGTCACTACGAAGTGAATGCAAATGACAAGTAATGAAGTTTTTTTAAAATAAATTAGGAAAAATTTTATGATACTTAGTAATTTTACCTTACTCACATAGGAATTTTATTTTATTGTATTGTGTATTTGGTTGTGAACAATAATGTCTAGTCAATATCGACTTCATTTTCGAATGAAATTATCTTTCTCTTGCTTAAAAGAATTTTAAATAGTTAACCTTTTCATTTATTTATTATTAGTTTTTTTGTTATAAAAAAAACGGCTCCACCGAATTTGTTCAAATTTCTTTCAGATTTTCTTTATAATAATATCTTTCGAATAAATTTTGATTGAAGTTGATATCTCTATCCGTTTTTGAGATATCGAAAACGAAAAAAATGCTGACGTCCGTACAGACATACGTACGTACGTACACACACAAATCATTATAAAAATTGATCAGTATGCATGCAAATACCATGAAACGTGGAGATATGATGAAAATTCAAATTTTACCAATCGACCCAATTACAATAACTTCCTAATGGGAAGTTAATAACCAGGAAATTTCAAATTGTACATTGTTGATAGATATTAATAAACAATCGAAATATCGCTCTAAAACAAATTGTTTATGGTCTGTAGTTATTATTAATAATCATTTTTTAAACTCAAGAATGGTCCGAGCATTGAGGAAACGTATTTAATAGCATTGCTTTAAAAAAAACGGACTGTTTACTTAGACAATTGCCTTAAATTTACTAGGAAATAAATCCATCAACGTAGGTTCAAATTTTTTACTGCCTGTACTCTAGCCGTGGGCGTTAGTATCCCCAGCAGAAATTTGTTAGGGTTGAGGTCTGGCTCAGATCTGGATTGACCTAGTTTAGGAAGGGTCTAGGTCAAAGGACTCACGATTTCTAAAAAATTCGTTGTCACATCTAATTCATTAAACTAATTTGTAAAATTATCTTATTTTCAAGGATGGATTTTAAGAATTCTAATGTCTTTTTTTTAATTAAATTTTTTTTCAGTCAACATTTGAATTGAGTTCAAAAAAATCTAATATATATTGTAATATATGGGTGTATTCAGTTTACATTGATGGTCAAAAAATTTTTTTTTTTTTTTATAGTAATACTAATTAGTAGGCAGTTACTTATGTTTAACGTTTGTTGCCACAGGTTTAGACCTAAAATAAACCTGGTACTAAATGTTTTTTTAATTAAAAAATATTTAAACTTTAATTTAAGACTTGTTTGAAACAATAACTCGATAGGTACATTTTTCCTGCCGAAAAAAAAAACTTAAAAAATATCCTGCCGAGGTAATGGTTCTATATAAATCAAGGCACTAAATGATAATTTTATTTTACATAGTAAGTAGTAAATTTTAAGCCTACTTTGAAGTGGTAACTCCTTCAGTATGATTACTGTATCTATATTGGACGATTTAAAAAATCATATTGGGCTGGCAAGAAAATAATGAAACACTTTTATAATTGAAATATTCTGGCATACAAAGTATCATGATACTACCGCCATATCTTTGCTCTCAAGGCAAATACAAGTCATTGATGGACATGGTGACTGCATTGGAGATTGAAGTTTGTAGACTCTTGAGTAAATAATAAAATTAAAAGCTGTTCTAAGTACTTCAGTATTTTCTTGCCAACCCAATATAAATTTTGTGCACCACTTAGGATGGCAGTTCTTTAATTTTTGAAAATAGTGAGTTTCACAACAAAAAATGTTTCATGTGGTAACTCGATAGGCCTAAGATTTTGCAGCGGGTTCTCGCTCTATTAGCAACGCTCAACAGATTTGTTTACTTTAGTTGGTGACTGAAACTAGATAAGAAATGACCTGACGTTTTTTTCTATCACAATTTAAATCTGTCATAATTTGTTCACCTTCAATAAACTTTCAATAGGTTTGATTAATTATTTAGTTTCCATTTTGCTATATTTTATAATATTAAAACCGTTTTCTTTTTGAAAGCTATCCTTCTTAGATTAAATCATATCTGTCTCAATAAATTTCTGCTTAGCAGGTGAACAAAGAACAAATAAAGTAGATTATGATTCAATTTACCTTGTTTATCTCCTGTAAGAACCCATAATTTGATTCCAGCAAGACTCAAATTTGCGATTGTTTGTGGCACTCCATCTTGTAGTTTATCTTCAATGGCAGTGGCTCCTAATAATGTCATATCTTTTTCAATTTCCTCATAAATAGCATCAAGTTTGTCATCCTTATCCTCACCACTCAACACAGCTTCCATATGACGCTGTTTCCAGTCATTAAAAAAACTCTCCTCTAAATTTTTCACTGACAAACACAAAGTCCTTAATCCTTCACCAGCAAATTTACTTAAATGTTCCTGAGTTTTTTGCTTAAATTCTTCATTTCCTGGCTTTAACCTTTCATAAATTACATTATCAGCTCCTTTACAATACAATCGAAGATGTCCATTACGTCTTAGAATCACAGACATTCGTTTCCTCACGTTATTAAAGTCCAAAATACATAATAATTCATAAATTTCACGTTTACCCATCACTTCTATTGTTATACTATTTGGTGAACGTTCTCGAAACACAAAGCCAAAATTTCTTGCAGCTGAAACAAGTGCTGCTTCGTCTGGTGATTGTGCTTGATACTCAATTCTTCCATTCTTTTCATCAGGCATCACCGTATGACAGAGAGCCAGAAGACGGAAAAACATGTGGACATTTTCATCATCTTTCTTCACTGCTTCTAATAACGATGGATCATAGAATTTAAATTCTGGCTCGTAGTCTTTATTAAATGAAAAATCTATAGGGGGTGCAGTCTGTAAAAAAATTATAAAATAGATTAGACATGTTGATTTGTCATAACAGATGTTTATTATTTTGGTTAGTTGAATTAGAATATAAATTAACTACTAGCAATTTCAACAATTTCCCCCTGAAAGTGAAATATTTTTACTTTACTATTAAAAACTGACATTCAAACAATGTAATTAATGTTTTTATTCTCTTCATTCAGAGTGATTTAGAACAAAGGACGGTAAATGTCTAGACTACCAGGCGTTCTTCCCATAAAGTCCAACCACAAGTACATTTTTCAGAAAAATGGCAATTTGATATGAGCTGGAGTCAAACCCAGATCTTCCTACCAGTATTTTGTTTTTTTTGTTATAAAAATACGTTTGTTTAAATAGAGACAGAGTAAAAAAATATTTTCTCTAATTCTAACACTGGGCTGTCGTTAAAATTTTTGCTTTACTAGCAACAATAGAAAGCATATGAAAAATGAAAGGAATAAATACATTTTAATTGCTGTTTTCTTGTGTGTAATAATTTTTTATTTATCATATAGAAGGTGGCAAGAACCCTAGCAAATAATTATTTCCAGAAAAAATTCAGTAGTTATTTTTTTTTGACAGCCATGAAGCATGAAAAAATCTAGTGATAATTTGATACAATTTTCTCTCTAATTAAAATTCATATAAATATTAATTAATAAAATAAAAATCCTATTCACAGACTTCTACATTAAATAAACTTCATTTTGATACCAAAATCGGTGGAAATAATTGCAAACAGACAAATTAATTAATAATTTCTCTACTTTTTAGGATTTTCATGCATCCATTTCTAAACCTTCTAATACATTTTTAAATGTCTCAAAACGTAAAGATATGATAAAATTACGAATTTTAAAAATGGATTACATTACAATACCTTCCTTATAGAAAGCTAATAAACAATATTCATAACTTAATGAACAACGTTCTTGTTTATCTGACTATTAGACCGGGAACAGCAAGAAGCCATCATTTATCGTAATTACTATGTTTGCCATGAGGCCATAAGCATGTTTATAAGTTACATATTTACATTTATTTTATGATACTACTTGGTGAGTCTAAAGTGTATATTATATTACCAAAAATTACTCTACCTCAAACTATCAGTATAAATTGTTGTAATAAATTATTGGACTAACTAGATGGCCAAACTAGTGTTATATATTTTTGCTCTTTAAAGGTGTCAATATGTAAACCATATGCTTAACCTTAAAATTTTATTGCTCTTTCGCCACATGGGTTGCGAAAGCAATAAAATGTCTAAAAGATGATTTCCTCAACGAATTTTCGAAATCCTTTCTATTTTAACAAAATCTTAGGAAAACTCAAAAAAATAACTCAAGTAATAATCGTTAACCTCAATCCTTAAGTTTCATTGCTATTCATTTTTAGCTTCTCTTAAAATATATATTAAATAATTATGTAAAATTATTGAAATACACTCAAACATTACACTGGGCTGTTTCAATACTATACTCGAGCTATCTTATACTTGTGTCAGTTTTCCTACTTACTTTACTAGTTTTTATAACTGAGGCTTTAATTAATTCACGAGTAAGATTGCTCAAAAAGCCGGGTTTTCACATTTTTTGCGTAAACTATCATCGATATAAAAAAATGTTTCAAACAAAAGTTGTAGAGAATGTGAAAATCTATAACTTTTGTATGAAACATTTTTCTATATCTATGATAGTTTACGCAAAAAAAAATGAAAAATTGGCTTTTGAAGCAATCTTACCCCTTTTTTATCCTGACGCTGGGTTCGCAACCCTTTTAAAACTATCCCTATGCTAGTCAAATTTAGCATGTCTAGGAATATTTCAGCCAAGTTTGACCGAGGTTGAAAAATTGCCATTTCAGGTCTAACTTGATTGGACTATAAGAATTACTTAATTCTGGGAATTAGTTCCTATATCCAGACATTTACCTAAAAAACTAATGTATAGACAAAAAAGTTTAGTCTAATTGATATAATTAGTAAACTAATAGTGTAAAAGAAATTCTAAAATCATTTCACGCAACTTTCTTAAACAATTAGATCATTTAGATTATTTATCACCAAAGTTCAAACTGATCAATAACATAGTAATTCATAATAAACATAAACGTGCTAAAACTTTATTATCCAATTATCATAGAAACTTTCCTAAAAGCTATTCAAAATCACTTAAAGTATTTGATTAACAAATGACACCAATTTAATCCATTCAATTAGCATAAAATTGTTTTTCTTAAGCTAAGAAGTTGTCCACTTTTTACTCCCAAAAACTTTAAAAATAATTATCCAATCAATTAGTAAAGCATTTTAATTAATTATTGAATTAGTTTTTATCTCATTCCTGAAAAGAATTAGCATTAAGTTAAGTTAGTCTACTCAGCAAGTGATAATAAATAAAAAGACGTGCTAGTTGTATGATAGATGAGTGAACAAAAGTAAAAACAACTAAAACATAAGCATGCGTACTGCATATTCAAATGAGTCTTTAGTGCCTCCGTTGATACTTGGCTCTGGTGTTGTGGTGGATATCAAGTCTCCTTGTTCTAAAAGTCGAGCATTGGCGCTGGTAATTGGCGTGTAAACCGGACGTACAAAATCCTGGCCATTGTTCCATTTCATTGCTGATACCTTTGATGATCTGTCCGTCTACATGCAGCATACACATGCTGAATAATACACACTTTTACGCAAAAAGGAGAGCTATAGCAACTCCATTACTTATTTTCATTCAGATGACAATTTTAAATAATCGTTTTTTTTTCTTTTTAATTTAAAACTTGGAATGAACAAGCAGTGGGGGATGATATAACTCAACAAAAAGCTTTACGATTTAATTCTCATTTATAAAAAAAGCTTTGCAGGATAATATTAATTGTTTTCCAAGGGTTTGTATAATGAAAATTGATTTTTATGACATAAATGTTTTCTAGATAAATATACGTCGATAAAAAGGATTTATTTGGCAATTAAACGAATTTTGTCTTTGTAAAAAATACTGTGTTGTGACAGTGATGCTGATAAATGTGCTTCACAGGAAATATTAACAGTTTTAGATATCAAATTTAGAATAATCAAAGTTGAACTTGGAAAATACTCTAGCAGTTCATTTGCGAGACAGCATTTGACTAATTAACTAATACAGTAGGATTCATGTACTTTCAACCACTTGAGACAGCTCAACTCATGTATTTTCAACTAGAAAAATTATCAACTGAATAATAATTAACTAAATAATTATAAGTAACAACAACAATACTAGCAATCAAATAAATAAGAATGATAATTGTGATATTTTTAAATTAAATCGGTTGAAAGTAAATGTAATTTTGAAAATACATAGACTCTACTGTAAATAAATACTATCCAGAAGATATACCTAACTAGAAAAAAGGTGTCAAAAAGACATCTTTTGGATGTAGATAAAAAGATGTCTAAATACTATTTGATAATCTTGGAGTTGTCTTATTGACATCCAAAAAGATGGTTATTTCTGTGTAATACTTTGTTCAAAATCATGTCAAAAAGATGTCTAAAATAAAGCCAAAAAATACTCTAGATATCTTTTAAACATCATTTTATTTATCTAAAAATTAATCTGATGAATTTTTGAAAAACTACTTGTTAACTTTAAAAAAATATCATATAGGCATAAAAAAGGTTTTTTTCTAGTTGAGATAAATAATACAGAACTCTAGAAAGTGAGTGAATACTCCAAAAATGGGTACCTGATAAAAAACAATTTAATTTTTTAGTGATTCTCTTTTTTTTAATTTAATGTAATTAATTTACTCGTTAAAAGAAACCTTTGTCAAAAAAGTAACCAGACTTTTAAATTTTTAGTGTCCTTATTAATAATTAAAATGTACCAAATTATTTTATCAGTCATTGAAAATTTTGAAGAATAGTTTGTTATGAATAATTAATGAAATGAGCTTTTTTCAGTCTAGTCAACACTTGAATTAATAGGACCTAAAGGTGATTGTACTGTAGAGTCTCTATAATATGGACGCCTTGGGGCTCTGAATTTGGAGAATAGCTATTTTATAGAACACATCTATTCTCATTGCCAAAAACGGCTGAACAAACATTTGTTTTCCCAGCTGTCCATTTTATAGAGGACTAAATAATAGAGACTCTATTATATTTAGTACCAAAACGTCACCTGAAAAATGTAAGTACACTGCAAATTCCAGATGATTCACACACGTGTGAAATTCATTTATTTGATGTGTATTATGTGTATAATGCTATTAGCAAACTATAAAATCATATATATTCTTTCTAAAAAGTGTTTTTTCTCAGAAAGCTTAGATCTTTATAAATACATAACTAAAATTAAAAACTTATATCACTTTAAAGTTTATGTTCTCTGTTTTGGGAAAAAAATCTAAAAAAAAATTGTCAAAGCCAGTATTTTTTGAAATATTTTCTTTTTAAGGCTGGGCTTTCCTAACCTCAAATCACTTCAAATTTTTCTCGTCAAATTGTACATTTTTTTTTTGTTTTTTTCACGTAAAAAATATTTAAGAACATTTCGAAAAGTGGTATACACGTCGGAAAACAACGGTTTATAGTACAAGTGCAATAATAATCGTAGAATAAATCATTTTTCAGTGAATTTTTCGAAATGTTCTTAAATATTTTTTACGTGAAAAAAACAAAAAAAAAATGTACAATTTGACGAGAAAAATTTGAAGTGATTTGAGGTTAGGAAAGCCCAAGCCAAAAATTGTTTTCAAACAAACATATTATATAGCTGACGCGTTCGAATAATTCTTAGAACATGAAGAACTTATACATTTACTTATTTCACCATATAATATTAAACCACAACATAGTGTGAAATTTTTGCACGGGTCAGCTAGTTTGTATGAATTTTTCATTTTTATACGTGTAAAAAATGTCTACAAAAGTACTATGGCTCATCTATGGCTTTGTATCATCCTTTATAGCTTATTAAACATCAGACTTTAGGAATAAGGAAATTATTTTTCGTCATACCCGCGCGGAAAATTCACTTTTCCATTGAAGAGCGGTTGAACTTTCCACACAGGGATGACGAAAAATCATATTCAACCCTAGGGGAGATAATTAGACTAGCTTAAACCACGTTTAAAATTACAACCCGAGCCGAAGGTGAGGGTAGTAAACACGCGGTTTAAGCTAGTTTACTTTTCCTCCCTAGGTGTGAAATGTACTATTAGTTCCGCAGTATAGAATGCCATGTTTCTGTGCACAATATGGGAATAAAATATTACCATAAACGTACATATAATTCGGAAATTTTATGTTTCATGTCGATTCCTTATTTCTAAATAAAAAGTGTAATGTGTGTATTATACACTACGCGATAAATGCTGTCCAATTTTTTGAAGGTTATACATCTGATCTCCTATACTCTCTTATACCAAATTCAGACAGCATTTATGTCGCGTAGTGTAGCTGCTCTCTTAGAGATTATCTGTGTAAATTTCAAAGATGTGTGACAGAATTTTGGATTTACAGTGTGATAAATAATGAATAAGAATAAATAAATAATAAATAATACAACTGTCTTAAATTGAACTGAAAAAAGCTCACTTCATCAAGCATTAACTATTTTATTCTTTTAAGCAAGATCTAATTAATAAAAAAAATATGGACTCTATATTTATAAAAATTATTTATATTGTATTCATCTTCTGAAAGTAAATGTCTATTTAATGGTCTGTTTACTTCAATTTCAAAAATCTTTGGATTTCATTGTATCATATATTATATTGGATTTATTGGATTACAATTTTTTGAACTCAATTTTCCTCGTGAATCAAATCTAATTTATTTTAAGATTAAATAATAGAGTTTTAGTGATTTCTTTTTTAAGATTATACAGTAAATAAAGGCTTAACAATTTATAAACTATCGATTTATCGTTGAAGAAACGTTAAAAATACTAAAATTAAGTTTTTTAGAGGTTTCTTATAAGTAAATATAACTTTAATGCAACCCAATATCCAATTTTATCACTTCTTCTAAAGAGTTTATATTCCTAGAACATTGAAACTTTTATAAATGAAAATTTTTATTTTCAAATACCTGATTATTTTCATGTAATTAATGTACTTAAATTTGATAATAATAAACATTCTAAAAAAATCTTTACTGCTCTTGGCTTTTTTCTAAAACTTCAATTTTTTTTAGCAAAGAAGGACTCTAATGATTTTTTACTGATTAAACCAATAACTTTCTATTTCCCTAAGATCTTTTAAAGAGATAATTACTTTTACTAAACCCTGAAAGATTCTAAATAATTTTTTTTAAACTAAAAATGAATTTATAATAAAGGACCAGAAATGTTTATTGCATTTCTCTATAAATTCTTCATTGAACGTTTTAAATTGTCATGAAGTAATGACCACACGTCCTAGTATTTCTACCAGTCTAGTAATTTTTCTACGAACCTTTACTCTAAAAATTTAAAGAATTTTTTAATCCAATTGACAATTAAATTGACTTCATTGTCAAAACTAATTAATCTATCATCAGCATGAATATGTGTTCAGTCACCTAATCATTTAATATAAATGTCCCAATTATTGATACCTTTTTTTTATTATCCTAATTAAGGTTTTTTAATTGCATCGGACAGTATGAAAAACCACTCTGAATCTTTCAAAATAAAATAAAATTTTTTTATTAAATGTTATTTTCACTCCCATTATTTATCGATGAATTGAATCATTTTTTATTACTTCAAATAATGAAAAAAAGTGATTGCTTCTTTAATTGAAAGGTTAAAGGTAATATTATTATTTATAATGTGTCTTCTCGAAAATACTACATTATAATTTCATTTCACGGTAAAGTATTTATCACAAATCCATTTACACTATGTAGTTTTTTTATAAAAATTTAAAGGACTTTAAAATCACTACTTTTTTTTTGTTTATAAAACAAATTGGTGTTAATTAAATGTAATAACTTTTTAAAATGCAGAATAAAAAATGCAAATTTGATTTAATTTATTATTATATATTTTTATTAAAACAGACTGCGAAGCTAAATTGGTTAATTTTGAAAAATTTCAAATGTTTAAAACCCATTATGGTAGTTATAGCACATAGGAGCGCGTTTTATGGGGGCTTTAAGGAGGCCCCATTGAATTTCTATAAAACGAATGATAATTCATTGAATTATTGATTAAAGTATTTACTGGATAAATTACAAAAATTTTTTGTTAATTATTACTATAAATTTGATAATTAATTTTAAAGGTGACTTTCATATTGGCCATATTGTAAACGTGAAATGCATGATTTTACAGTTTTTAATTAATAATTTCTTTATTAAATATTCGAAAGCTGCAATTTTTTTTTGTGAAATATCTATTCGAAAACGTTCCCGAATGAATGATCTCGTTTTTCGTAAGTATTTGCAGTTCGGAAGATTGGAAAATTGAACGATAAAGTCGAAAGTACTATCTCTCTCTCCCTCACTCTCATTTACGTCAATGTATGAAACTGTATTTATAAATATGATTTTTACATCAAAATGCCCGATAACTGAGCTTTTTTTTGCTTGTAACTTGTTCGTGATAATCTTAAGAACATCATATTTCAACATTAAATTTATTTGCAGACTTTTAAGTGCTAGAACTACTTTAAGTAAACTAATCATGTTTTGTTTTATGTCAGAGACATATTTTAGAAAGTTCTTCCGACTTTTATGTACATTACAAAGCCCACAGAATCACAAATGTATCATTAATTAGGACATTTATTCTATTTAAATTCCACGATTATTTACATTTTCTACCAATTCTTCTCCATAATTTTCTGTACACTGAAAAAAATAATTATGTGGTAACAATTCAAAGTATAGTTGCAATAGTTTGCTGTCCCAGCAATCCTTATGCCTACTCTAATTATTCGAATAGCTATTATAACTATCTAGACAGCTGCCACAACTATCTTATCCGTATGAGAAAGTGAAGTATTGCTATAGTAGCAATGAATGCAAATACTTCACAATACTATAAATTATGAAAGGTAAAATATAGAGGTACAGAATTCCTCTCATTATAATATTTTTTTTAAATTGATAACACAGTATTCTTGAACACGACTAAGTAAACATCATGTATAATTACTATTGATTGGCACTGTGGTAGTGTAAACAATACTACTGTCAAGATAAACAGTAGATGTATTATAAAAAAAAACATACCACTGGATTTTCTAGTAGACATTAAACACCAAACAATTGTTTATCATCAATAAATATTCATTGGGTTATTCTATAATATTTATCCATCAAAAATAAATCATTGTATTTATTTTCCAAATAAATCCTTTTATCAAGCTGACATAGAAGAGCCCTAAGCTGAAGGTTTCAATCAATGAATAAACCTACGAAACTTGGTGTATCATAACAAAGTGCAATAAATCACGTAGACAAGTGAATGCAGCTCACCTCACTGAGATCAATAATTTCACCGGTGACTTGATCAATGACATCACCGTAGCTTTTGCCGGCAACCGAGCATTTGTTGAACGTCATGATGTTCTGTGTAAGAGTACCCGTTTTGTCGGAGAAAATATACTCAATTTGGCCTAATTCTTCATTGAGTGTCGTAGTTCTGGCTCTTGCATGTGTATTCGTTGGTGCATAATACATCTCCTCGTCCCAATTAATAAGGAATGATTGAACGAATCTTATAACTTCAACACTCACGTATAAACTTATTGGCACGACAGTATTTAACACAATTGAGTACGAAAAAAATACAAGTAGAGCTGTCACAGTTGCACCACCAATTGGATCAGTAGGCACTAATGAGTCCCATGGTAAATATATTTGAAAATATCGGCCTACTAAACTCTCCCATATGCCACAACCAACCATGCAGAATAAACACAGGGACAGGAGAAAAAATACGATTCCAATAATCAGGAGATTTAGGAGTCTATCTATTGAGGTCCTTTTGAATTTTGTTTTTCCTGAGTTTTGCATCAGTTTGGTGTCCTTGCCAGCAAAGATCACCACACCATAGCACCACTGTGTATTCCTTAGTACACAACCCCGTAATATTATCTTGTCGTTGTCCAATGCATACTTTTGTCCTTTCCAATTTAATATTCCGTCAAATTTGTTCAACAAATTGTTTGGAGTCTCACATATTATTTCGCCATCAAATTCTCCTATCAACTCGTGATTGTCCATCATTGCTGCTGTCTCCGCTAAACATTGACGGCATTTCAAATTCGTCTCCCTAATGGACAGAAACAATACATGTGGTCAGAATAATTAAGTGATTAATTTGTCGCGGTTATCATCCGACAACCTTTTTTTACGAATTTTTTATTTATTAACTTCCCAATAGCAAGTTATTATAATGGGGTGAATTTTTGAAATTCGTAATTTCATCATATCTTTACGTTTTGAGACATTTAAAAGAATATTAGAAGGTTTAAAAACAGATGTACGTACGTACAATTGTCCGTACGTATAATTGTACATACGTATGTCAGGTTTTTTGTCGTTTTCGATATCTCGAGAACCACTAAAGATATCGACTTCGGAAAAATTTCATTTCAAAGATAATATAATGAAGAAGATCTGAAAGGAGTTTGAACAAATTCAGTCCAGCCGTTTTTCTTTTATAACAAAAAGAGTGTAAAATAAGTTGAGTAAAGAAAACATTTGAAATAGATTCTACTTATTAGATGATTAACATTATTGACAACTGAGGTCAATATAATATGGTTGTTAATAACTTCATTCAACTCTAAACAATTATATATTGTTTATAACAAATTTAATTAGTTATAAACAATTTAAAATGGTTTAAATTTATTGAATTATCATTATTATGATTATATTCGACGAATATTAATAAAATATTGTTATAAATAATTTAATGTGATTAAACAATTGTATATTGTTTATAAAAACAGTAATTTTTTATAAACGAAAAAATCAAAAGATGACAAAATTATGGATTTCAATTAATAGGAAGTTCGTTGTCAAGGCTAAAACTAAGCCTAGACCTATTTTTCATTAACATCTTTTTTGAAATTGACTCTAAAATGATCACTTTTAAAAAAATAGTTTTAATAAATTGAAAATATTTTTGGCCGTCTAAAAGAAATATTAATGAATCACTAAAAGTACCTTTATTCTTGAAGAAAAATTGAAGTATAACTAACAAACAATAGATATGCATTCAGAAGACAGCAAAAAGGTTCAAAAAAAATTGCTTGTAAATTATCAAAGTCTACGAATTGCATGTCTCTCGTTGAATGAAAATACGTTACGCAGACGTTTGTTCTAAGTTACGACAGAAAACCCTTTAACCCAGCCTTGCTTCTTTCCTGAGAAGAGCTACGAGAAATTATTAGTCGTTAGAAAACAATTTTAAAGAAAAAGAAAAAGATAGAAAAAGCTGGACATCATTGCAATCATTACAATTTTCTATCTGGAAAGTTTTGTTAACTGCTAAGTAAATTTGAGTGGCTATAAATTAAGCAAAATTATTTTATATATTTAAATTATTTGAATTTATGCATGTGAAAGTCTACAGATTTAGTATGAGCAACGCTTGACTAGTTTGTATAGATTAGCTTGATTCTATGACTTAAACCAACTGAACATCATTTCTTGTCATTTTACAACATTATTTTTTATAAAGTAAAAATTACTGTGAAAGATAGTTTAATTTACATCATTTGAGGAAATTCTTTTCATAACGAGATATGTACATGATGACTTTTTTCCAAAAAATATAAAAAACTGATCGTAGGAAAACGTTTCTGTAGGAAATCCTGATTGTACGAAGTCCAATTTTCTAAGTAGCATATCCTGTTTGAGATTCGTTTAAGGTATGAAATGATATATTTTAGCATAGGTAAGAAGACCGCATACTCAGCTTTATTTTTGAACATATCCCGTTTTGAAAAGACCCTCCTCATTTGTCATTTCGAAAAAATTCCTATCTTGAAGGGTAAATTTTACTATTTTTGTCTGGTGTACGACGATTACTCTGTACAGAGAGGTAATGTTTAAGGAGTGACCTCAGTAAAATATTAAACATTAAGCTTTGGAAATAAGGAATCAACACAGCACATAAAACTTCAAAATTACATATGCGTTCTATTCTTCAACTGTGAACAGAAACACAGAGTTTTATAAGATTGAACTAAATTCAATTCCTTTCTCCTAAAGTTTAATGTTTAATGTTCTATTGTGGCCACTTCTTTATACAATTCTTCTCTCTGTATATCAATAGCACATTTTATATATTGCAAAAGACTTGTATTGTTTATGAAAATAAATTTCCTAATAATAACTAATGATAGAAATATGTATTTTTTTAGTTTAATGATGATAATGACTGAAGAGATAAGATATTTGATAGATAAAGATTGAAATAAAACCTCAAATCTCTTGGCAAAAGGATAAAATTTATGTTAATTATGTTTTAAAAGTAAACAGCACAATAATTTTTTAAAAATGAATTTTTTCTTGTAAAGTGGTATCAATTCGTTGCTGCAATTTATAGCAAGATAATAAAAAAAAACTACTTCAACAAGAACTTAGAATTACTATTATTGTTATAAAATTATTTTCAACGATAAAAGTGATCATCTCAGAGCGAAAGAAACTTGATAATTTGCCAATGATATTACTGGGTTACATCTTCAACATCGTAATAAAAAAAACGACAACTTCACAGCAAAATGATCGAACATAAGTTAGAATAATTGTATTTCACATTAAATAAAATTATTAAACCATTTTTCTCTCTAGGAAAGTTTTATTTCAAGATATTTTTATCTTATTCAAACAAAAGAATTTCAATCTTGATGATTTGTAAGTATAAAAACCATTGAATAATAAAAGTTCAACCTCAATCATGACAATGACTATCATGCATCAATGAACAAGGATTTATTACATAATGATTAGACCTTGTCAATTAGTTACAGAATTGACCGTTTTAGTTTGAATAAAAATACATTAATTGGTTTACTTTATGTGAGAGATTGAATTAGATAAATATCTAAATGATAATGATGAGCTTGTTTTGAATGTTCTAAGTTTAATCTAAAATTTGATGGAATAATATCAGTACAACTATTTTTGAAATATCGATCAAACATAAAAACGAAAATAAAAAGATGAATGAAAGATTGTATGAAATAAATTTACCCATCTAATTCTGCAGTCTCAATATAACAGAGGCCATTTGGTTCACTAGTGGATAATAAAAGAACATCAGCTGCAACGAATTGATCATTTTCCATTCTTATCACATCTCCTACTTGGACTTGCGACCATTTCTCCACTTTAAGGCTTGTTCCTCGAAGTGTTTGTGACTTTCTATTGTTCACTTGTGAATCGCTGCTATGTCGTTGCTGAAAAATTTTAAAAATAATTTATCTCTCAATTGTCGACATTTTTTAATTACAATAAATTATTTTAAAGAGTTTTTATAAATTTTAGAAAGATTTTAAATAAGTTTGAATTTTTATCTCTTTTTTTAGATTAAAATGTTAAAAATAAATTATTCCGGAAAATGAGTTTGTTTAAATTTTAAAAAGAATCTTGAGTGTAAAAATTATTACTGAAGAGTTACCATCTTTTAGAGATATTTATTACGTCAGAAAATAAGAAAAAAATTCAATTAAGTTTTTTTTTTTTTATTCGTTCCCATTAGCTAGGAAATAACCTACTTCTATGTTCCATCAACAATTCGTTTTTTTAATGAAGATATGTAATTAATGATAATGAAAAAGTAATCATTAATTGAATTAACTTACAAAGTCGTCGTAGGCATCTTTGACGGCAGTGAGTGTGAGTACCCCAATGAGAGGTATTGCTGTAGTAATTGGGGTGAGTGAAGATATGGCGGGGATCATTTGAAGAACCAGTAGACATAGGAAGTAAAAATTGGCGAGCCGTTGAAACTGCTCAAATAAGTTTAATGGCAGGAACGTCAGAACAGAATATTTGGACGTTTTAATGTAATTGTTCTGAAAAAAAATATCATTTTACCATAATTATACATTTTTTATTTCAATTTTTGTAGGTCGTTTTCCAATTTGAAATAAATCTCTTAATTTTCTTTTTAAGAAAAGCCCTGTTTTTGACATCAAAAACTTACCGAATATTTACGAAAATAACCGAAAGTATTAAGGGAGTAAAGTAAAATATTTCATCCACGCGAAGGTGAGAGTGGCAAACACCCTGGTAAGAATGTCTTACTTTGCTTCCATGGTCTACATACTATTTTTTATCATACCATCGTCAAAACTTAAAGTTTGTTGTCGGTTTTGAGGTTGGAAAAGTAACGTTCTCTCTCTCGTAGAGAATGACAATATCCGTCTGGGCATGCGCACAGAGGATTTTTTGTCTTTTTATGCGGGATAGAATACGTCGCTTTGGGACCTGAAAACCGGGAGAAAACTTTAACTTTGGGCGGGGGTATGAGAAACAATCATATTTTTAAAGTTATACTTTTGGCGCATTGAGGGTAAAATTTTCATTGTAACAGAAGTTGCGTACGCAACAGATATGAGACACCGTGAAGTAAGTTGCTGAAGTAAATAAGCTAACTTCAGAGTATCTACTTATAACAAAAAAAAAATTGTGATACTAAATGTGATTATAAGGTAAAAAACTGTAATTAATATTAATACCAAGGCATTTGTGTCTAACTGGTTTAATTTCTATTCTACTGAAATACATGAAATCCTTGCTAAGTGCTCTTCTGTCTATATATGACCGACCACAACGTACTTCATGTATAAACTATTACTGACTTATTTTTCTCATGCTTGTACTATTATTATGTATCTGTGGCCCTAGTCTAGCTTTGCTGTTGGGCCTATGTAAATAAATAAATAAATAACACAACGATAAGTTAGCTGCTTTAATTTGATTGGTTGAATTTGACGTAATTCATATCATTATTTTACAATCTGATCCACTAAATCTGGAATAAAATATTAATTATTATTTGAAAATTCAATTGTTTCCCGATTATCTGCACAAAATTTAATAATGACCCATATTCAACTTCATCAGAGAAAAAAGATAATATACAGAAGAACCATGTAAATGAGAACAGTTTACCCACCTGTCACATGGACAGGGATAAAAAATTAATGTTGAAGGGTCAATGCACCAATGAATGAACGACATGGCCAATACATCTATTGGCAATATATAAATACAATAGAATCCATGTATTTTCAATCACTCGAGACAGCTCAACTCGTGTATTTCCAACTCAAAAAATTTTAACCTGAATAATAAACTAAATAATCATAGTAATAAATAAAAATAATAATAATAATAAAGCAAATAATATTAATATTTAACAGATAAATCGATTAAAAGTAGATGGAGTTAAAAACACATAGACTCTATTCATTGGTATATTTAATTTTCTTTCAAAATTTCCATAATTATTTTGAGTTGCTTGGAAATAAATCATTCAAATGACTTTTTATGTCCCATGTACATATCTCCATAAATCACTTTTATTTCACTGATGAACCAGATAATAATTTAATTTTTCGTTCATTCATTGGTACATTGACTTACTGTAATACGGAAGTTCTTCTAGATTATTTTTTATTTTTATATTATTAATAGCAATTAAATTGTTATTAATTAAAAAATAACTTTGCTGTTGTTTTAATTTCTTCAATTATAAATTTATTCTTAAAAATAAAGATTCCTACCAAATGCCACCTAAAATTTTATTATTTTTCAGGGTAAATTTTACTTTGTACAATGTACCCGAGTATTCGGCATGATAAGGTAATTTCTATTTGCAAAACTGTACTGTTTAGAATTAAATAATAAATCATACTTGATACTTCAAAAACTATAATTTGATACTGCAGTGTACCAGTAACAGATTAACTTTATATTTTTTTTATATCTTGCGAAAAGACCCTCATTAAACTCTAAAAAATAATAGTTGAGTGCCATAGTTGGATTTACAATCCTGTGTTCATTTCTTATTTGACAGAAAATAGTTGAGTCCTTTTCGAACTATTAATAGTAAATCCAACTATATATTTCTCTCAGTGTAGATTTTCATATAAATTATCATTTATTTATTGTTTCAACTAAATGCTTAGCTTGTTAATAATAAATGGTCTAAATTTAATAATAATAATTTTTTAAATTTATTAACAATACTGCACACTACAATACCAAATAATTAATCTTTCGATGTAATCAGGAAAATTTGAACTCTCGTTACATTAATCAATATTCGGTTTTCCTGCCTTGTGGAATGTTTTTGATGTCAAAAACACTATAATCTTATTTTTAATAAAAAAAAAAAAGATATTTGATTTGAATTTAAGTATTCTTACAGCATATTTAAATTGTGAGTTGTACTCCCGATTATTTGCACGAATTCTCCTTTCCGTTTCTGTAAAATAAATAACATCATGATTAATATTAATTACTCAAAAATAAATGGTTATCTTTTTAAAAAATACACTCGATAATTTTCTTCTAAAAATATTTCATAAAATAGTTGATAAATGGTAGAAGGAGAAAACAAATATCAGAAATTCCCCGGAAGGAAATAACAAATTCCTTGATATTTGTATCTAGCAATTTAAAAAATGACAGTTATTTTTATCAAAAAAATAAATGTGTTTTTATAGAAGAATGGCTTGTGATGAAAACTCACCACTGGAAAAAAATACAGAACTACGTCCTATACATTCAGTAGCTGGTGGTGAATTAGGAGGTGCTGAGGATGAAGTCGTTGGAGTGGGTCGATATCGTGTACCTTTCCAGACGACTAATTTTCCGAGAACAGTGAGCAAAGACTCTCGTAAAGTATGACGATTACTTGGACCACCCAAACTACTTGAAGAATCTCGCTTGGAGCATTCTCCAGCTTGTTCAACGTCATTCGATGATGATGATGGAAAATTAACAACCACATGAGTTGATGATGAACGTTGTTTTTTCAATTTCCGACGTTTTCGTTTCTTTCTCCAACTTCTTCCGGTAACATTTGTTACCACTGGATCAACATCTTTTGTTGATTTACCAGCTACTCTCGAGGACTCTTCGGCAGTGCCTTCGTCGTCTCGTACCTTTTGCAATTATTTCAAAATAAATTTGTCATACATTCTATTTTTTTTAAATTATCAGAACAAATTAATAAGATGACCACATATTTGTGATGAGCTCAACAAATTGATGTGTAAACATTTTTGCTCTTTGTGTTGGGACAATTGAATGTGAAACATCAAGCCAATAAGCTTCAACCCATCATTATTATCATGAACATTGCTTGCTAAGTATCAAAAGTACCTCCGCTCTTTTTATTTGAGTATTCGTTTGGGTGAAACCTTGGACCTATTTGGAGATCTTGAAGTCAGTTGTCTTGGAATTGCAGAAGTCAAAGGCTACCTAGTGTTATATACTCTAGACTCTGCTACAGATTTTGATGAAAAATATGGATAAAATATCTGTCATATGAAGGAACAACTTTCATACCAATTCCTGATCATGCTTACTTCATTTTTGAATTAAAGATCATTGTAAATCGAAGATTTTCAAAGTGTGTTGAAATAAATTCTAGAATTTAATACCCATTCAAGGATGTAAAAAGTGACCACAAAATGCAATAGTTTGTATACAGAATTTTAACATTGAACACACTCAATGTGAATTTTATTAATTCAAATGAATTCGAAGTGTTCAATTTGCTCAGAAATATACCTAACAATTACTCTGAGGATAATAAATAGCATTTTTACTGTGATAAAATTGAATAAACATGACTATTTGTTATTTCTAAAATAAAAAATAAATAGATAATAGATAAAATTTCTATTTTTAAATAAATAATATTTTGATATAATGAGACTACATTTGACATTAATTATCAAATTTCCGAGTTATAAGATAAATTAAATGATATTAAACTTTAATATTAATAATAATAATGATATAATTAACAAACTTTGATTATCAAACACTAGGCCAAAACTATAAACCTTAATTAGTAGCTTTTATTTGACGATGAATTAATAGCTTTGATTTTTATTGTATTATTTCTCAGTAAGGCAAAGGCAAAGAGAAAAAGCTAATGTCCAAATGATCACCGGTATTCTTTCCAACTTCGTTGACCCATTATTAATAATATTAAACCTTGAATAAATATTAAATTATGTATTCAAATTTAACAAACAAAAATAAATCTATTTATATTCAAGATATAATATGTAGCTGAGAGATATTAAATAAGTTTCATTCAATCTTAATTAGAAGAGTAATAAAACATGAATTTTTTCAGGACAAAAGATTCATTTAAATTTTTTTATAACATCTGCAAACGAATCTTAATAATCTCACAAGTATAGTTAGTTAAGATAAGTTCTTGTAAATAATTTTGAGCCAGTCTCTTCTAGATTTTCTTTGAAATACGATTGTGTCTACCTTCCATAAGTTCGTTTTAATTAAATGAAATTTTTATTTCTTTTAAATCAGAACCTTTCTCAATTTATACTAAGGTATTTCGATCGAGATTAATGTTTTCTTAGGATTTTTCTTTACTACATTAGAATTAAACATTGTTAAAAAATAAAACGTTTGTTTTAGTAAAAAAAAAAAATCGATTAAATGTTTAGAACTCAAGTTATTTGATATCAAAGTTCACTCTTCTCTCCATTTAAATTTGGATTGCTATCTCAAATTTTTTAAACCCTGGACTGAAGCGGTGGAAACCCGGACAAAACAAGGACTCATCTCATCAAAAACCAGGACAGATCAGATTTAAAATTTTTTACTAAATATTTTAAAATTTATATTAATCTTTATTGTATTGAAACGTAAAAAGTTTTATTTAGAACAAATCGCAATTATTAAAATTAAATATTGATTTTATTCAGATACGCGTAAAACAATGAAAATACATCTATAGAACCATTTTTTATATAATCTTTGAACTTTTTGATAAAAAATAAAAAACCCGGACATTTCGAAAAAAGTTCCCCAGACAGCCCCCCCCCCTACCTCGTCAAAAAAAGAGGACATGTCTTGGAAAACCTGGACGGATGGCAACCCCGATTCAAACCAATGATAATTGACTACAAGAGATTAGGTTTTTTAACTTTCATTCAAAAATGGTTCTTTAAATTTTCGTTAGAAAATTATGTAGTGTAAATGCATTTATGTTCCGAAAAGAATAAATTATTATTAATAATTTTAGTCTAAACTCTCACATAAAATAGGCATTAATCTTTTTTTTTGTTAATTATTTCGTATTTTCCGGAATGATAAAAAACAAATTAATCGAAAACTGGCTTTGCTGTTGGGCCTATATAATTGTTTAAATAAATAAATAAAATTCAGAAAACTAGTGTGTATAATAAAAGAAATTAATTTTATATCAAAGGGCCCTAGGTTTTTTTTTTATACGACCTGGAGCGAGTGAAACACCTTGAAGAGGTTCTTGCATGAAACAAAATTAAAGATTAATTTATAAAAACTTTAAAAGTAACAGCTAATAATTCGAAAAAATCAAATTCGCTTTATCAATAGGTTTCACCGTTTAGTTTGGCAATCATAAATGAATTGTTAAATAAGTTGAGTTAAAAGTTAAACACTAAACCCAATGGCAAAAATTAATTAAGATTTCTTGTAAACAAAACGATCAAAAGTTTCATAATTTTGTAATAAATCAATTCTAATTGTCAAATTTTTTTTTAATATTAAATATTGTCATTTATCTTTAAATTAAATTCTAAGGTAGGTTGTTCCTATACTAAACTATTAAGTGTGCAAGAACCTCTTTAAGTAACCTATTCCAACAATAAAAAAAATATTTTTACTATCCTGGTGTTGAGCATTATGTTATATACTATATCTATTTACTTGTATAGCTATATTTAAAGTCATATTACTTTTATAGTTTTAAAAGGCTAAGATTTATCTACAAGAAAAGCTCTCTTTTTATGTGCATTGCAAGTCCTTTACAGAAAACCCTTTTTTATATCAACTCTAACTTCTAAAATTCGAACTTTAGACTTCTCCAGATTTCTTAAACTTATTCTTAAATAGAAGCAGTTACACTACCCCAACAAGCTAGGCTTCAATCCCTCTCCTGGATCTTGTGGTCAATCCTTTCAACAAGAGACTTTTTCCCTAATTTTTATCACTTAGAATCTCTCCTCTGAACTATTCAGATCGTCTAGATTATCTATGCAACGAATACTTTGTAACTTTGTGTACTCATTCACTCGTCAATAAACGAATAGTTTAAATAAAATATCGTTCAGTCATTGGGCATATAACAATTGATGCATTTCTGAATATTGATACTTTTATCATATGCAAGTTTAAACTCATCAACGTTAATTTCTGAATAGATTTTCAATTTGTATGGTCAACAAAATATTGATATTCTCTTCAATCTTCATGATAAAATAAAAAAGTTCCCAATTCAATCTTCTCAACGTATAATCAATGCTGTATCTTCATGGTAAGCTACAATCTCAGTGACATATGTTTTCCTATTTCACTTATCACAGTCCCAGTCATTTACTTCATATACAAAAACCAGATAAATAACAGAAAATTTTTAATCAATTTAGAAAAAAAATCTCTCATTATCACAGCATGACTTGAACTTCCTCCATTGATAAAAGCTAGTACGTTTACACATCAATTTCTCCATAAGACTCTACACTTATTTATATTTTAGGCCATCTTGACTCTGTTAATCATTCAGAACACCTACATGACTAATCATGTCACTACAAAAACAAGCTGAAACCCAAAAAAAAAGGAAGGTCTAGATGTCTTTTGTCACATCACATAAAAGTGGATGTTAAAATACTCGAAGCAAATAAAAACAATGGGATATCAAAAGTGTATTGAAAAGAAATAAAAATCTCATATCAAGATTTAAACAAAAAAAGGAAACATACCTCGAAGACTTCAAGCTCCAGAGTGTCTGTCTCGATACTCATCTCTATCCTACTTAACAATCATTCGCTCAAAAGCTCCAACCTCAACCTCGTGGCACTGATTTCGTGCCGACGAGACGGCTTCTTCATCGTCTGTTACATATTTCTGTCCTCCTACGTCACGTAAAACATATCTTGATCTCCATGACATCAGTCTTCTTCTTGGTTTTTTTTAATTTCTCTATCACTGCACGTGGTAATAATTAATCTTCTCCGAGGCATTTTTATAATTCTTTATGTTAATTAACACTCCTTAACCACCAATTGACATCCCAATTTTATAAACCATACTGTAATTGATTCTGATTTAAAATTATTTTTTTATATTTAGCTCATATTCTGCTGACTAATAGAATTCAATTGATGGCAATAAATGAATAGTGACCACAATAAATCCTTGTTAATCATTTATTTTTACGTATTTTAATAATAATTCTTTATTTAAACTCATTTTGAATGTGAATCCATCAGTGAAAACAATGACAATTATAACACAATAATCAACTACTTTACCAGACTATAAATTGTTACGTAAAGCTTGCAGTGGTACTCAACTTATCAAAATCGTCTTAAAGCAATCATCATGTCTGAGATTATTTTGACCTGAGATTCTTATTAGTTAGGTAGATTAAAATATAGACATTTAATCCACGTGGTATCAACAGTATACCAAGAGATGTTTACCAAGCCAATAAAGATAAATATTTTATTTTCATCATTATCAACATGATAATCAGTATTCTTTTATTTTTATTATAGTTATTATTGCTGTTATTGTTGATGCAAAATTGTATTTTTCTTGCTTTATTATTAATCCACCAACATGTGATTGGAGAGTGAAAGAAATTGAGTTGTATATGATTGCGTGCTAGACATGTAGAAGTGACTCTCTGGGATACTTTCCCTTTCTAGTAAAAACCGCTTTATCAACTTTCAACGTCGTTGTTGTCCAGACTGTTGTGTATATATCCAAGTATACTGCGAACTCTTCAATGCTTCTGTGGAATTCATTCAAGATCGATAACCGGGTCAAGTATGCGTACACGGTTTAATCAAATTTCACGGCTGATGTGAATAAACACTGTGATAAAGAGAAACTAGTTTACTTTAAGATATTGATACTTTTTTGTTATTTTTTTCAATAGTAATGGTGTGACTTTTTTTTTCGAACGACTTTTCTTGATTATTGGAAATAGAAATAATTGATATTACAATGTGTTTTTATTCTAATAAAAAAATAAAGATCATTTTATTTTAAAAATTAATATTGAATATGTTTGTTTCAATATTTCTTACTTTTTTTTTAATTCTTTTCCAATAAAAAATTTTTTTCTATCATTTTTCCCCACAATTAAATCCTTTTGTATGTTTCTTTAGAACTAGTGAACATATCTTCAGTAACCAGGAAATAAATTTTTGATTAAAAAACAGAAATTCCAAGAATTAAAAATGAAATTGAAAAAAAAGAGAAGCAGAAAAAGATATGAGTATTTGATAGTAATAAAAAAAAAGCCTTCGTTTTTTCAAATTAATTTGGTCTTTTTCATTTAATTCAGTTGGATATTTTCAAGATGATTTTTAACCTCACGTTTTATTTTTTCACTCAAACAAAAAAATTCATATCTTCATATATTATTGAAATATAAGTGTGTTATCAATATTGTCTACTTGGTTGGTATGATATTATACCAAGTAATGAATATTTTGTGATTTTTAAGTGACAATTACCTTTTATTATCTAATCTAAAGACGATAGATAATATGATTCAAATGACCTAGAAGGCATTCATAGACTTCACTAGGTTTATAAGAAAAAAAAAAAAACTGTAAAGTAAAGGAAAAAATTAAAAAGAAATGACACTTTTTTTATTCTTGAAAAAGAAATATCAGTGAAATTTAATCAACTCTAGTGTCTCTCGTCGACGACGATGTTCTCGTCGACGACAACTTTCCTATCGCGACCTCGTTGTGCACACACTCAGAAGGGCGTAACGATCGCACGCACACTAAAGTTCCAATGTTGAAGAAAAAGACTCGAAATTTCTCCACATCCCATCTAGTGTCGCATTGCAAACGTTTTTCTACAATGTTTCAATTTTATTATTCCAACCTATATTTTTTCAACAAGTGATTAATGATATTTCACATCAATTTACACGTCAATTTGACATTTAAATTGATTCATAGAATCACGTTCAACCCAATTACCGGCACACAATCAACATTTAGTTCACACTTTGTTTTTTTATAGCTTACTTCTTTATAATGGTTTTAATGTTGAATTTTTAGATACACTGATTGAAATATACCAGACTTGTCAGATTTTAAAGATTAATTCACTTTTATGACATTACAACGTCTCGCGTTGTTACGCATCTGTTTGCATCCGAGACAATTTCTGATTGAGAAAGAGAAGGACAAAAAATGAGTAAAAAAGCTCACAAGGCGTCACGACGCCGTCTCAAACACCCCTTGTACAGTTGATAAGTTCGACGCTACACAGCGCCTCTGTCGATTATTTGTGGAGGGAAGTTTTGAAATTTTTTATTGCGAATTTGTGCAAATTTATTTTTAATTAACAATAAATGATAATTTTTTTACTGATTAAATCAATAAAAATTAAGATTTTGTTAGATAATCATGCTAATTATTTATTCTTCGTAATTTTATTAGTATGAATGATACTAATTATTACCCTCTCTAAATATAAAAAAGTGAAAAACATTGGAAATGACTGTAGAATCAGTAAATATAATTATTTTTAATAGAATAACAAAAAACCTTAAATTACCAACTCATCGTGACGGTCAAATTTTCGCTGTTGGAAATTTTTGCCCTACCATTGATGACACTATATGTTGTAGTAGTCAAAGAGTGTTAAGAATGAACACACATAAATGTGTTCAATTTTAATGGAAGTCAAGGTGTAGCATCTTAAAGTACACATCAAAGTGTGTTAAAATTTGTACTTTATTTATAACATTTAATATTGAACACTTTTATGTATACTCACTGTACACACTTCGATTTGCAGTGTATGCAATGTATCCTTTGTACTAATATGAAAATAACTAGTTTCACTTTAAGACGGCATTTGTAAACCTTACTTCAACAAGCTTACATCAAATCTCTGTTCATCAGCCTTAAGAGGTGTCATTTCTTTCACTTGTTTTTGAAGGTGTTGATAAAGATGTAACTTCAATTATGGCTTGATTTAAATTATTTATCCTTAGAAATTTAACTTAAAGTAGTACTTCCGGTTTTAGAATTCACGTTCAAAATTCAATGAAACTTGGCATATTGGGGCATCGTAACATCATAATTGATCAGTTGAATTTTTTAAGGCCTGATAATAAAGAGAACTGAAAAAAAATACCACAATCAAAATTCTGAAGTACTTTTGTAGTACAGTTATGACACCACTATTATAGAAATCTGAACGTCGAGTTTTGTGGAACAAAATGAAGTCTGTGCTTTCTTGAAAGGATCAATGGTGAAGGTAAAAATGTTTAAAGATTAATTTTTTTTTCAGTTCTCTGTAGGCCTTCAACAATTTAACTGATCAATTATGATGTTATAATGTATCAATCTGCCAAGTTTCATTGAATTCTACAACCGGTAGTACTTCCTTGAGGCGTGTGAGTTGTCGTAAACATGAATCTCAAAACAAATTAGAGCCCGAAATTTTTGTCCACATGTTGAAGGTTTGTAGGAATTCTTTACATAATAGTCCTAAATTTTTTTTTTACAATAAATTAATTTATTTTTCATTACGAAGTTGTTGCAATGGGTATGATTTTTTGAATTGAAAATTTTGACACATCTAGAGTCCAAATCCATCGCTTTTAAAAAAATTTCTGTGTGTGTCCGTACGTACGATCAAATGTACGTACGTACGTAACTTATTTTTTCGTCTTACATATCTCGAGAACAAATAATGATATCGGCTCTGGGCCAATTCCATTCGACACATATTTATATCATAAATATTTGATAAGATTTACGAAAAAATTAAATTAACAGTTTTTATCTTTTTTATACCAAAAAAATTGTTTTTTAAAAACTGGATAATTTGAATACGACATAAGTGGAATGATTTTCACTTTTTATTTATAAAATCGGATGGGAAGTTGGTGGTTTGGGTAGACCAATCACACCAAGCCTTTTTAGTGTTGTTTATTTAAACAATTAGAATTAGAGCATATTCATTTGGTGATTTTGGGAAAGTACCATTAAAAATTGTTTGAAGACCGTTGCCTATTGTTTTGAATGTTAAGATAGTTTAGAAAATCATTAAGAAAGATTTTTAAAAATAATCCAAATTTAGAAGAAAATTATCGAGTATAAATATTAAGAAAAGTATTTATATATAAAAGTGAATAAAAAAATTTACCTTGTACGGGACTTGTGGCTGCGTTTCGTGACATGTTTCAAGCTTTTTCTTCTTCTTGATGTGTTTTAATGCAATTGGACGGATATGAATGAGTGTATAATAATAAAGATAGCCAGTTATCTTGTAAGATTGTCTGCAGATGAATAAAGAATTCAGCCCAGTCTCTGAATAATTCATCAATATTACCGAGCCCAACACCGCCAGCGGTGTCCTCGGGTAATTTTGGTCGTTTATAGAAAATATTTAGGCACGTTGGTGATGCTGCTGTTAATAATTCCAGCAGACTAAGGGGTTTTAATTCAAAAAAGTCAATTGGATGTAAAGGAAATGAGGTCAGGTGGGATGTTTTGATACTGTCTGATAACGTGAGAACATCAGGATTGGAAAATAATGAGAACGCGTTCGGTACAGCGTCCATGTGGTCACTGGTCACCGACGTCCTCGTCTCACTCCTGATCGACGCCACGGCCGATTTCCAATTAAGATCCAATGATTATAATCTCCACACCTTGACCAATTAGCCGCCGATGATGATGGAAGTGATGAAGTTATCTGTTTTTGGATCCTGGAAAAGAAGAATTTTGCAATGTTATCTTTGCTGCTAGAATTCACTTGTATACATGATGAAACATTTTTGGGTAACAAGAAAAAATTACCAAAAATTTTTGTAAATTATCATAAACATCGTCATTTTTGTAAGCATTTCGTTTGTATGCTAATTAGATGTTATGGTTAATTGGCGATAAAAATATTTAGTGTATTTTTTCGTTAAAATTAACGAAGTGTAGTGCAACGGACTTAAGCGCCCTCTATGTTGAAAATTATAAGTTTTGGAGGAGTAAAAAGAAATGCCTATAATACTTTCACGGCTTCTATAGCAATTTTTACTGAATAAAAAAAATTCTGAATCAAAATCGTTCTTTCGTCATGCCTACGCGGAAGGTTCACTTTTCCATTAGAGAGGGGTTGAACTTTCCACGCAGGTATGACGAAAAATCATATTCAGCCCTAAGGTGGACAATTAGGTGTGAGGACCCTAGGTGTGAAATATACTATTCTCATACTCCCATTCAAAGTTAAAGTTTGCTCCCGGTTTTCAGGTCCCATAGCTACGTATTCTATCCCGCATAAAAAGACAAAAAATCATCTGTGCACATGCCCAGACGGATATTGTCTTTCTCTGCGAGAGAGAGAACGTTACTTTTCCAACCTCAAAACAGACATTAAACTTTAAGTTTGGACGATGGTATGATAAAAAATAGTATGTTAACCATGGAAGCAAAGTAAGACATTCTTACCAGGGTGTTTGCTCTTAACTTCAAGTCGTGATGCAATTTTACACCCAGGTTAGAATATCATACTTTTCTCCCTTGGTTAATAATGTACTATTTCCCATTTTTTTTACTTCTATGATCACCAGACGTAACTTTTGCAATAAAGAGTCTGTAGTGTCTTTAGAAAAATATTTATATCTCAGATACTACAAGAAAGGAAAAAATAGGTAAAATCAAGATTTAAAAACAGGGTAAAAATTATTTTATACACAGTTATAATAACACTACAGTAGTTATTAATTTTTATCTTGAAAAATTATTTAATATTCGGGGTAAAATTTTCTCTTGATGGTCAAAAATTTACATTGTACAAAATAAAATTTTTCGAAGTATGAAGAAAAAAAGAAAAGTTACTACTTTTGTACATTGCATTATAATTATTTAGCTGTACAAAATTTTGGGGTAAATATAAGTCCATAATTTTCAATTGAAGCTGAAAAACAATAAAAATATCAAAAAAATTCTAAATTTGAGAGCTGGCGATTTTTTGACACATTGGGGTAAAAAGTAGGGAAAAGGTAAGTAAAGTGGAACGCTCGAGACAATGTAGTAATTTATTAAAATAAGTTCAAAAACGTTTATTGCAATTTTTGTTTATCAATTTTTAATTTATTAATACATTCAAGATTATTAACATTCGTTAATATAATGGATAATTTGTTGATTGAAATTTCTTTATTGTGTTCCACTTTACTGCCTCTTCCTCTAAATTATTTTAGAGTAAATTTTACCCACACGGCGCAGAGTAATATTATTTACTATTGAATCATTCAATAAATTTAGTACATTTCGTTGCATAAAAAATGAAATTCTTTATGATCCAAACCATAATGCGCAGTTCTCGTCATAGCATGTTATTTTTCATAGAATTTATTTTACGCATTACAACGATTACCACAGGTAAAAAATGCTGTCAAATAATATCCATCTATTTAAAGAAGAAAATTTTTCACCAAATAGAAATGCATTTAATTAATCAACTAGATAGAGATATGTTAAAGTGATAATTGTCAATATAAAAAACAAGATTGAAATGAGAATAAAATTATCTTTCAGAGACCAATTATTATTAAATGGTAATACGTCCTCTGAGTTTAAACGCGAGTAGATCACTGT